GGTCATAAACCAGCACTAAGACGATGAATATTGGTTAAATATAGTGTCTAATTGTAAATATACTCATGGAAACGAATAAAGGAACACACGACAGTGTTCCTATTCTCTTGTTCATGTTCATGTCATGCTTTATATTGCACTATGGGTGAAAATCTGGAAACGAATAAAGGAACACTTGTACTTTCATGTGTTCCCTTATTCGTTCCATGAGTATATGATTCTACATAGACAAACTTTATGGATAACAACTTTCGTGAGTGCGACATTTCAATACAGATTCTTGGCCGTTGTCAAGCAGGAATGGCTCATGAAATAAGTTGTTATCCATAACATCTGTCTATATTGTACTTCCCAACTTCTTTGTGCCACTCAAAGAAATTTTTTTGATATTGTCTTACTGAAGGATCTTGCCAACGAAATGTATAGCTGACACTACAGATCCATTACATGGGGCCGACAATAACGTCTTTATACACATTTGTGTAATGTCCTTACAAACAGTATTATGTTCAGCGTTACCCGTCATAGAGTATATATGTTACAGGGAATGTGTGAAACCAGAGATTTCACGTAATCCCTGATGAAATGAGACTCAACAGTAAAGTTTTAAGCTACAAACATTAATTTCACACATTCACTGATATCCTAACAGGGAATGTGTGTAATGGAACACCAATAAAATCAGTAATTTCATGAAATCCCTGGAAATTGTAGGGAATACATGAAATCCCTGGGGGTCACAGTGATTTCGCGAAATCACTGAATCTTTCATGGATTACGTGAAATCCCTGGTTTCACACATTCCCTGTAACATATACACTGTGAGATAGGGCTGCACGCCACTGTGAACAGCATTGCAGTTATCTCACGTGGTGTGTCAGTGTATGTTCGATTAAAGGCCGAACTATCGCTTTGTGAAACACGAGAGATGACAAAAACACAAATTTGGGCATATCTTGGGTTCGAACCCACAAACAAATTACGCAACATGCAATCAATTTTCGCAGCTCTGCACTGGGATGAATACACAATGCTTGTCTCTGAGAATGTGGGTTCGAATCCCGGATTGGAATCAATCCAAAAAGTACTAGAATCTGTACTTTACAGAGAAAGAGTAATCCAATATATAACAGATGTCTGCAGGGGGAATTGTGTGGCATGGACCATCTCTCTCCTTTCTACACTGATGACAAAAGTGCACATCAGTGTTAGTGATGGCTGTGTGATACAGGTTGAGAGGTTATTACCTCATTGAGTTCAACACGTCTAAAGGTCTCCGTTCCTAATCTGGTATACACTCTAATATACCTTTGAATCACATTATCATCTGCAGATAATGGCCCCAGACTCAGCGTTTTTTATTAATAATGATCTGATCTTAACCCCAGGAGAGTTATATCACGGTCTTCTGTCTGTCGTGTTCCATATCAATAGTATATCTATGGCCTCCGCGATGTTTCGGGTTACAGCGGTCCTCGGTAACCCACCCTCGTGGTGAGAGGCGACTAACATGGATGCTTGTGATCGTATACCAATACAGTGTGGAGCGATGTCCAAGTTCGACAATTTACATGTGACTGGAATAGTTCAGTCATAGTCTTCCTGTGCGAATTCCATAGTATATAACCTTAAAATAGTTGACATCATTAGTTACCTGTCGCATAGATTTCCCCGACCTCACCGAAGTCGTGCGCTACAGGCAGGTATTTCCTCGACATGATGACTACTGTTTCTAATAAACAATTCCTCACTTTAAATTAGACACGACGATGCATGTGTAACGAAATAATCACTCCCCATGGAATGCGAGAGCCCATTGTTCCAGACGTACAATGTACACGCCTAGCTGCTTCAGTCGTACGTAGGTATACGCCTAACTGTTCCAGACGTACGTAAGTACATGTCTCGCTGTTCCAGACGTACGTAAGTACACGCTTAACTGTTCCAGACGTACGTAAGTACATGTCTCGCTGCTCCAGATGTACGTAAGCACACGTCTCGCTGTTCAAGAGGTACGTAAGTACATGTCTCGCTGTTCCAGACGTACGTAAGTACACATATCGCTGTTACAAACGTACGTAAGTACATGTCTCGCTGTTCAAGACGTACGTAAGTATACGCCTAACTGTTACAGACGTACGTAAGTATACGCCTAACTGTTCCAGACGTACGTAAGTACACGTCTCGTTGTTCCAGACGCACATAAGTACACGTCTCGCTGTTCCAGACGTACGTAAGTACACGTATCGCTGTTACAAACGTACGTAAGTACATGTCTCGCTGTTCAAGACGTACGTAAGTATACGCCTAACTGTTACAGACGTACGTATGTATATGCCTAACTGTTACAGACGTACGTAAGTATACGCCTAACTGTTCCAGACGTACGTAAGTACACGTATCGCTGTTACAAGCGCATATTACAAGTATACGCCTAACTGTTCCAGACGTACGTAAGTACACGTATCGCTGTTACAAACGCACATAAGTACACGCCTAACTGTTCCAGACGTACGTAAGTACACGTATCGCTGTTACAAACGCACATAAGTACACGCCTAACTGTTCCAGACGTACATAAGTACAAGTCTCGCTGTTCCAGACGCACATAAGTACACGTCTCACTGTTCCAGACGTACGTAAGTACACGTCTCACTGTTCCAGACGTACATAAGTACACGTCTCGCTGTTCCAGACGCACATAAGTACACGTCTCACTGTTCCAGACGTACGTAAGTACACGTCTCACTGTTCCAGACGTACATAAGTACACGTCTCGCTGTTCCAGACGCACATAAGTACACGTCTCACTGTTCCAGACGTACGTAAGTACACGTCTCACTGTTCCAGACGTGTGGGCCAAGACAACCTAGGAGTACATACAGAAATACATGAGACACAAGGGACAAGGTCCTACATACATATGAAATGTATTACATGTATGTCACGGTTGTCGAAAGAACGTAGTAGTCAGTACTAGAATCTGTACTTTACTGATAATCTCAAATATAACAGCTTACAAAAGCTTCTTGTGTCCCTGATACAGATATTTATGGGGTGCTTCATACACTTACTCATCAGTCACAGTCTGCCTTGTCTTTAGGAAACAGTACTGATCATCAGAACTCTGGCAATATACTTAAAGTTATAACCATTCCACGTTTTTTGTTCAGTTTTCATGAATTATACATCAGTTCCGTGAGACATTTCTCTTTAGGGACCTGCCTATCAACTGGGATCAGCTTCACATACATGAAGATTTCATACCAAATCATATACTCTATATTCACACATTCACACCAGAAGAGAGCAAAAGAATTTCCACACAATCAGACACATTCGCATTCAAGTGTGGAACATTAACAGACTGACAAATAATAACACTACCTCTTTCAGGTAGCCCTGATTTTCAGAAAAGTTGATTTGAGTTTTTTCTTCAATCTCCTTAAAACATACTGTAGTATTTATATGTATGCAAGGTGCTCCAATTATACAGAGTAAACCATTCCTTCTTAGGTAATGAGTGCCCTGATGAAAAACAAATAACTACGTTTCAAACCTAATCTATACTGCCATCCCCTTTCCAGTGCACAGGATCGATGCTCATGCCGTTGATCACTGGATTGTCTGGTCCAGACTTGATTATTTACAGACTGCTGCCATATAGCTGGAATATTGTTGAGTGCGGCATGAAACTAAACTCACTCACTCAGTCCAGTGCACAGGCCTTTACTTTAGATTAGATGAAACACTGTCTGCTTACTTGATCTCTACCTGACATAAATGTGTCAAATACAACATGTATATATGTAGCTATGTATAAGCAAACATCATATGCCATGGACACATATCAGTGAATATGGCGAAGATAGTACAAGGGTGAGTAGGTGAGTAGAGGATCATGCTGTCTACAAGACAGGACAATGTTACTGATGAATGTTGTACTTAAGAATACAGCCATCCATCTTGTGTGTACTCCCAGGTTGTTCTGTCATACAGACTTTGTTACACGTGATGATAAACATGGTGGAGGATGGAATGATGTTTAATATACAAATATAAGTGACTATCAATACATTACAAAAATATGATGGTAAAGGTGATAAGTTACTCTAGCACAATACAGCACACACTAGTGCATGAGTATATTGGTCTGACTCCACTGTCTTGTACATGTAAAGACAGAGACCAGTTCGTTCCCTTGTTGAACTGACAAACTACCACACAGGTCTTTGGACAAATTATAGACTAATTGTTTGCCCATTGTTTGAAGAAACCTTAGTCCAAGACCAGTTCCTGTATATATACTTGCGACATCTTCTGTGAAGACTTATAGGGAGAATGCAAAAGAAATGCAAAATCCATTATCCAGCCTCATGTAAGAATGTCGACTTTTGATTGGTTCACGTGACTGATAAAATACCATGTACACCCGTCACGATCCGTGAGCAGGGAGTACAAAAGTCATATTATCCCGCCACGCCTCGGTGACCACGCGAAGTGAGAAAAGCGTGCATCGCCAAGCCTTTAGTAACATGCGCTGCATTAACCTTACTCGGGACTGATAAAACCCCGTATTTCCCTCGACACGATGTGATTACTTATAGTAACAATCTTGATAAGAAACCAAAAATAGATTTCATATAACCCTTTTTGTGTGAATTGATTTTGTTAGTCTGGCCTTTGCACAACAAGGAAATAGAAATAGTCCTGAGTAAAAATTGAAAATGTTTCAACAACTACACTAAACCGTATCTCATGGCAGTTCTATATCTCGCACACAGGATATATGGCATGAAAACCTGAGATGTTCGTAATGCCTTCTTGGTATCAGATACAATACATCCATCACTGCTGTCTTCACACAGTTGTAGGGTTAAGAGCACTCTCTCTCTCTTTCTCTCTCTTGCTGGAAGTTTCTTCCTAAAGTAGCTTGCACAATTCACTCACGGAAGACAGGCAATCAATCACAGCTTGTTGGTTTTTTCTAATTAACATACAACTCTGACATCACTCTAGTGTTAACTGTTAACAATTGACAGTTTACAGGCCTACTTTTTGGCAATGCAAATTTTAGAATCAAACATTATATCTAAGGACAAATGCTACAACAATCAAACTGTATAAACTGCATGAACACGAAGAATATCCATGTGAGTTCCAGTGCAGTCAGTAAAGCACAAATATTTTCTTGTCCTGCATGAAATGTCTGTGCAGCATATTCATGTTGCATTTTTCAACGATGTACTATAACTTTAAGGCTCTATTTTCAATTTGAATGTGCAATATTTTGTTGCACTTAATGTATTTTAAGTGAGATAATGCATTCCTTACTGGACACTGAAAATAATTATACTTCTACAAACACATGATCCAAAAGCAGTCTGTTACATTCACCGAGAACTACATTCATCAAAAAAAAAAAAAACAAACAGAGGAGAGCAGAATCAGTTGATACGGTTATTGCGGAGGAGGGGGTCCCTCTCGCTGTACACTGGCGCCACCTCCTCATCCGGGTCGACTTCCTCCTCTTCCTGCAGACGCCGTGCCAGTGACTGCTTCTGTTTGCGACTCAAGTTCAGCATACCGCCCTGAAGACAAGGAATTGGTCAGTAGGGAAAGGTTGTACGAGAATCAACTAAGTCTTCTGGGGTAGATTTGTTCTACACTGTACATACTTCCAGCCACTACTTTGAGACCTACAATTTCATTCTGAAAGGCCCTGGAATGTTGTTCTGGGATAGTTCAGGACATGAACTGAACAACTTATAGTTCAGGACATGAACTGAACAACTTATAGTTCAGGACATGAACTGAACAACTTATAGTTCAGGACATGAACTGAACAACTTATAGTTCAGGACATGAACTGAACAACTTATAGTTCAGGACATGAACTGAACAACTTATAGTTCAGGACATGAACTGAACAACTTATAGTTCAGGACATGAACTGAACAACAACTTATAGTTCAGGACATGAACTGAACAACTTATAGTTCAGGACATGAACTGAACAACTTATAGTTCAGGACATAGTTCAGGACATGAACTGAACAACTTATAGTTCAGGACAGGAACTGAACAACTTATAGTTCAGGACAGGAACTGAACAACTTATAGTTCAGGACATGAACTGAACAACTTATAGTTCAGGACAGGAACTGAACAACTTATAGTTCAGAACAGGAACTGAACAACTTATAGTTCAGAACAGGAACTGAACAACTTATAGTTCAGGACAGGAACTGAACAACTTATAGTTCAGAACAGGAACTGAACATGAACTGAACAACAACTTATACTTCAGGACATGAACTGTTCAGACAACTTATAGTTCAGGACATGAACTGAACAACTTATAGTTCAGGACATGAACTGGACAACTTATAGTTCAGGACATGAACTGAACAACTTATAGTTCAGGACATGAACTGAACAACTTATAGTTCAGGACATGAACTGAACAACTTATAGTTCAGGACATGAACTGAACAACTTATAGTTCAGGACATGAACTGAACAACTTATAGTTCAGGACATGAACTGAACAACTTATAGTTCAGGACATGAACTGAACAACTTATAGTTCAGGACATGAACTGAACAACTTATAGTTCAGGACATGAACTGAACAACTTATAGTTCAGGACATGAACTGAACAACTTATAGTTCAGGACATGAACTGAACAACTTATAGTTCAGGACATGAACTGAACAACTTATAGTTCGGGACAGGAACTGAACAACTTATAATGCATATAAATATATTATTATTTTTAAATCGACTGATGTTTCCCTTCACAATTTTCTGACAAAATGGCATACTTTACAATACACATTGTACAAAAAAAAAATTGCTCAGTAACCAAACTAATTTTGAGATTGCAGGAATCAGAACCATAACAGATGTTTTTAGCATATGGACAGTAGGATCTGCATGTACATTTACTCATACCACACTTTAGCTTCCATTAAATTACATTTGTGACGTCATTCCATTGTCTGTTCGCTCCATTACTTTTCAGGAATGGAGCCTGACATTTAATTTTGATAACAAAATATTCCCAATACTTGAATGTAATTTAAGTAGGGTAATCCATAAGTAACTCTCCATTCCTTAAAAAGACTGCTCCATTATTTTTAAGGAATGGAGAGTTACTGTACCCTCTACATAAATCGCTATAGATACCTGTAATGCAATACTGATACCTGTAATGCAAGACTGATACCTGTAATGCAAGACTGATACCTGTAATGCTAGACTGATACCTGTAATGCAAGACTGATACCTGTAATGCAAGACTGACACCTGTAATGCAATACTGATACCTGTAATGCAAGACTGATACCTGTAATGCAAGACTGATACCTGTAATGCAATACAACATATTTGCCAATACACAGCCCTACTCAGTTCACATACTGGCTTCACGTTTGTAATTGATTCTTTGTCATTTTATAATCAAAATAATATTTTCCAGTTGTTATATAAAGGTAATAGAAGAATGCCCCAACCCCCCACAACCCAGTTTGAGATCTTTTGGGGATTTTTTAAAGCAAAATAACCTTATATTGATGTGTTACAAAACAACACAAGAGGTCTGACCTTCCTCTTGTCGATGACATTCAGGAAGAATGTGGTGGCGACACAGGCAAGGATGTTAGCCAGCAGGAAAATCATCACATACTTCCAGCGCAGTAAGATGGTCGCTGTTGGTGTGCTGGGAAATACAAGGAAAACAAATGGAGACAATATGAATACAAGCACTGTCAGAGTCATACAGAATACAAGCACTGTCAGTGTCATACGGAATACAAGCACTGTCAGTGTCATACAGAATACAAGCACTGTCAGTGTCATACAGAATACAAGCACTGTCAGTGTCATACGGAATACAAGCATTGTCAGTGTCATACGGAATACAAGCACTGTCAGTGTCATACAGAATACAAGCACTGTCAGTGTCATACGGAATACAAGCACTGTCAGTGTCATACGGAATACAAGCACTGTCAGAGTCATACAGAATACAAGCACTGTCAGTGTCATACGGAATACAAGCACTGTCAGTGTCATACGGAATACAAGCACTTGTCAGTGTCATACAGAAATACAAGCACTGTCAGTGTCATAATGGAATACAAGCACTGTCAGTGTCATACAGAATGGAATACAACACTGTCAGTGTCATACAGAATACAAGCACTGTCGGTGTCATACGGAATACAAGCACTGTCGGTGTCATACGGAATACAAGCACTGTCAGTGTCATACAGAATACAAGCACTGTCAGTGTCATACGGAATACAAGCACTGTCAGTGTCATACAGAATACAAGCACTGTCAGTGTCATACAGAATACAAGCACTGTCAGTGTCATACAGAATACAAGCACTGTCAGTGTCATACAGAATACAAGCACTGTCAGTGTCATACAGAATACAAGCACTGTCAGTGTCATACAGAATACAAGCACTGTCAGTGTCAAGTGTCATACAGAATACAAGCACTGTCAGTGTCATACAGAATACAAGCACTGTCAGTGTCATACAGAATACAAGCACTGTCAGTGTCATACAGAATACAAGCACTGTCAGTGTCATACAGAATACAAGCACTGTCAGTGTCATACAGAATACAAGCACTGTCAGTGTCATACAAGCACTGTCAGTGTCATACAGAATACAAGCACTGTCAGTGTCATACAGAATACAAGCACTGTCAGTATCAAACGGAATACAAGCACTGTCAGTGTCATACAAGCACTGTCAGTGTCATACAAGCACTGTCAGTGTCATACAGAATACAGACACTGTCGGTGTCATACGGAATACAAGCACTGCCAGTGTCATACAAGCACTGTCAGTGTCATACAGAATACAAGCACTGTCAGTGTTATACAGAATACAAGCACTGTCAGTGTCATATGGATAATGTTGCTGTAGATAAAGAAAAACACTGTTTTCGTTTTCACTTACTCTTTTTCTGTCCCAAGAATCGAGCCAACAATGAGATTAGAAATGCCAATACCAATCATTTGAATAGATGTAGTCAGGCCCATTGCCGTGCCAACCGTTGCCTGGGTTACCACAAGGGGAATTGAGGGCCACAGACTAGCCTGAAAAATGACAAAATTCTCGCTGACTGCATTATAGGTTGAGGAACCAGGGATTTTCTAAGCTGCTGAGAAGGATTGATCATGCTTTCATGATGTAGTAACTCGAACAAATATTTAACACTTTTCACATTTTCATCTCTCATCTCAATTACTGTTGATCTTGAAGGAAATATTGCAAACTGTTCACCAACACTGCACTTTAGACTTTTAGCATTGAATTGAAGAATTCCAAAATTGACATTTCTACCAATGGAACACAAAGGGAAGAGTGACATCTTACACTGTATCAACTAAACAGTGTTCCTGGATGAACAGACTTACAGCGGCCACAGAGTAGGTCAGCCCGAAGCACAGGGTCGCCACCAGGGGGTACACATAGGTGAAGGCCAACAGTGCAAACACGGGGATGGAGAACACCGAACACAGTATGGCCAGGTACCCTCGCTTCCCAAACACATCCTGAAATATACAAATATACAGATCAAAAGCTACACAGTACCCACACTTCCCGAACACATCCTGAAATATACAGTTCAAAAGCTACAAAGTACCCTCGCTTCCCAAACACATCCTGAAATATACAAATATACAGATCAAAAGCTACACAGTACCCACACTTCACAAACACATCCTGAAATATACAGATCAAAAGCTACACAGTACCCTCGCTTCCCAAACACATCCTGAAATATACAGATCAAAAGCTACACAGTACCCACACTTCACGAACACATCCTGAAATATACAGTTCAAAAGCTACACAGTACCCTCGCTTCCCAAACACATCCTGAAATATACAGTTCAAAAGCTACACAGTACCCTGGCTTCCCAAACACATCCTGAAATATACCAAAAGCTGCTTCCCAAACAACACAACACATCCTGAAATATACAGTTCAAAAGCTACACAGTACCCTCGCTTCCCAAACACATCCTGAAATATACAGTTCAAAAGCTACACAGTACCCTCGCTTCCAAACACATCCTGAAATATACAGTTCAAAAGCTAAACAGTACCCTCGCTTCCCAAACACATCCTGAAATATACAGTTCAAAAGCTAAACAGTACCCTCGCTTCCCAAACACATCCTGAAATATACAGTTCAAAAGCTAAACAGTACCCTCGCTTCCCAAAACACATCCTGAAATATACAGTTCAAAAGCTAAACAGTACCCAGTAAGCTTCACGTACCCTACCCATAAAACACATCCGCAAAACACATCCTGAAATATACAGTTCAGGAGCTACATCTGTGATTGAGGGGCTGAAAGGTGCAAACTCATCTTGAGGAATCCTGTACATCCAGTGAGTGACATATGTAATATATTTACCAGTGGAGCTGCCATGTTACAAAGACACATAGTTGGTGCAACAGCTGTTTAACAGAGTTTTAATATGGTATCTACATCTTATGGCCACCAACAAAGTATAAATGTGGTATCAAAGGAGTAAAGACATTACTTACGATGATGCCTCCCAGGAATGGAGACAATAACATAGACACATCGTAGATTGAGCCTGCGATGTATGAAGACGTTTTCTGATTCAAATTATACTCTGTCTTATACTTGTCGTAGATAAATTTACTGAAAAGGGAAAGATATTGTATAATGAAACAAAAAACAATCCATGACATCTGAAAAAGAAAATCTAAGGATGCCTTTCTATTTTGTTTTTAATAACATCATTGGAAAGTAAGAATACCATCATCCATAGCACGGGATACTTTTGTATATTTTATAGCATGACATTTTGTGAATCCCCAAACTGAACAAAAACTCTTGAATGAACAGAGTGACACAAAACACTGTAACCATCCTCATCACACCTGTCATCAGTAGAGCCCTGTACAGGTGATACACAACCATCCTTATCACACCTGTCATCAGTAGAGCCCTGTACAGGTGATACACAACCATCCTTATCACACCTGTCATCAGTAGAGCCCTGTACAGGTGATACACAACCATCCTTATCACACCTGTCATCAGTAGAACCTTGTACAGGTGATACACAACCATCCTCCCTTATCACACCTGTCATCAGTAGAACCCTGTACAGGTGATATACAACCATCCTCATCACACCTGTCATCAGTAGAACCCTGTACAGGTGATACACAACCATCCTCATCACACCTGTCATCAGAAGAACCCTGTACAGGTGATATACAACCATCCTCATCACACCTGTCATCAGTAGAACCCTGTACAGGTGATACACAACATCCTTATCACACCTGTCATCAGTAGAACCCTGTACAGGTGATATACACACCTGTCATCCCCTCATCACACCTGTCATCAGTAGAACCTTGTACAGGTGATATACAACCATCCTTATCACACCTGTCATCAGTAGAGCCCTGTACAGGTGATACACAACCATCCTCATCACACCTGTCATCAGTAGAACCTGTACAGGTGATACACAACCATCCTTATCACACCTGTCATCAGTAGAACCCTGTACAGGTGATACACAACCATCCTTATCACACCTGTCATCAGTAGAACCCTGTACAGGTGATACACAACCATCCATAGGTGATATGACCCTCATCAGTTCACAAAGTGAAGCATTTGATAGATTTTATGGACAACTTTTGTTGATTTCATAGAGTGATGTTTACATGTAGATTCTTACACTGTTATCAAGCAGTAATATACATGAAACATCACATGTAATAAACAATATGTTGTTATACTTGAAGCCATATGCTTCGTTGTTACCTCACCAACTACAAGAATGCTGATCAAACATTAAACTCACCTGGCATCAGCCACAAATGGAAACACTCCGTTGTAGAAGAACATGATTGCCAGTGCCACCAGCCAGTATGACAGGGAAAAGTAGCGGATATCGGTGAACCTCTGAAGCAGGAAGTTAGTGAGTGCCAGGAGACATGAGTGGTTATTCATAAATGCCTATGAGTAATCAAAGCTGTGAGTGAGTTGGGATTAACTCAGGTACATCTTAGTGTGTCCGCTGACTGTAGTAGCAATGCCCCGCAGGTCATAGATTACCAAGCAAAGCTGGCATGATTTCTGCAAAATGGGATTTCAAATGCCATCCTGAAAGTGTCATAGCATGACTAAGGTACTAAACTCTAAATACCTATAACTATACACTAAGAAAAAAGTTAAGCACCCCCTGATATTTTCACAATGCCAAATGTCAAAGAACATGTCAGGTCCACAATGGCCCTAAATGGTCGGACATTCAAATGCCATCTGATAGAACAACCATCTGGCAAGACAGAAATGCAACATCGGTTGGCTGTGGTTAGAATTTAATAGCGATTATGTCATGTTATCACAGGTACTGTTTTTACCCCGAAACAAAACCCCCAAAGTATGGAGCTGCAAGTCAATGAAAGGGTGTTGACAATGACATTGATATTGTCACATGAAAATGTTCCTTGAAGACACTAGTGTACGTGTTCAGTGAGACTAATCAGTAGAGGGTGGACCCGCCACGTACCCAGATGACACGTTCCATCCTACGTCTCATGCCTCCAGTCAGAGTTCTCAGGTCAACAAAAACCACTCAGCATGCAGAGCTGCCCCCAACTGATATAAATTCTGTATTGGAGGGTTCCGGGCCTGGATTCGCCACTCTATAATGTCCCACACATGCTCCAGACACTTTTGCATTTTTGCTCAATGTTACGTCCCCGATAATAATTGATAATCGATTGATAGCCTGCCCTTGTATTTACCCTGTGTAGTAGATCTGTGAGTACTGATCCTGTGTGCTACAGTTTCAGTATACGAATCCCAGTCTTACGCGAATCCTAGTCTCACCAACAAGTAACCTTGACTTACCAGTTTCTTGGATTCTGTTTTCATGCTGGCCTCATCTCCCAGCTGCTTGACGCCATACATGTCCAGGAAGCTTACAACAATGGCCGACACAAACCCCAGCCCACACAACATGGCGCCTTTGGAGGAAACAAAGCATGGCATGATGGGCAACACGATCGACTTCTTTCAAGTAATAAACATTTCTAACACACTTTATTAAGTGATTTATAAGGTATTGATGTGAAATAAGATAACCCTTGCTTCCAGTAAACACGTCAATATTTTCAGGACCAGACCCTCATTTTCAAGATAAAAACACATCAAGTTAAAATCTGCACTGAAGTGCGTTCAAACAGATGTAATGGCCACAAAAGGTTAATATTTTATACTCCTTTAAAACAGACCGCCTCCGTGGTGTAGTGGTTAGAGCGTCCGCCCGGAGAGCGCAAGGTCGCGGGTTCGATCCCCGGCCGCATCATACCAAAAGATGTTAAAATATGGTACTTGTTGGTCCCTGCCTGGCGCTCGGCATTAATGGGTACAACAAGGACTGGTCGGCTCGGAGTCAGTATAATGTGTCCGAGTGGGATATACATGCTTCACTGCGGCATTTGTATCTCAGTGGGCTAGCACTATAAAACCAGCTTAAGTCGGGGCTAGTACAAGCAGCCGCACATACACATACACACACATGCACGTTGTCATATGAGCGAAATATTCTCAAGCACGACGTTAAACCCAATTTCACCTCACCTCACCTATTCATCCTTCACTGCAGCATGGTATCTCAGTGGGCTAGCACTATAAAACCAGCTTCAGTCTGGGCTTGTATAAGCAGCCGCACATACACATACAAACGTATGCACGTCGTCATATGAGCAAAATATTCTCAAGCACGACGTTAAACCCAATTTCACCTCACCTCACCCCTTTAAAACAAGGTCAAGGACTCCTCACCGCCCCAGAGAGTCCAAGAGAGCCCATACGTCTGAGAGAATGACTGTGTCAAGAAGAAGTTCAGTACACTTCCCAGACGGGAGAATGCTAATGTGAAACCAAATGCCATGGCTAATTCCTTGTTTTTAAACCAGAAGGCTGTGATCTTGTTCTGAACAACTGAAACACAGAAGCACCTGTTCTATATTGTTCCCATCACCAACTTGATGGAAATTATTTCTTCCTGAAAACATTTAATCATGCATAACAGTCAAATCGTATTTTGTTCAGTATTATTTAAGGTAAAGTCCACTGAGAAAATACTGTTTACAGGACAGCCTTCCAAAATATATGCTCGTCCACTTGTCTGCAAGTTAATTTCCATCATCAATATCTCATACTGCTAATGATAATTAGAACAGGGAAGTGGTTAACAATATTAAAACTTTAAATCTGAAGTTCAATTCCTTTTTATCAGACACCTTAAGTGGTATACACAGGGTATTCAGTTAACAGCCAAGCACACAGTCAGATTATATTCAGCGGTCAATAATTACCAGATAATGAAGAGTAACTGTTATTATAAGATATCAATCTATATTGTCTTTGTCATGTGATTAGTAATATTTCCTGTGCCATTACCCACAACCCCATCCCTTTCTTAATTTAATACATGCAGTACATAAATGACCTGGAGACAATTTCTTTTGAAAATAACATTTGGTCAAATGTATGAAAGGCACATGACTTGAAATGATAACCATTAACTACATGATGCAGTTTATAGATTTACTTGTCCAAGAGGACTAAAACCTACTTGTTAGTGACCCGTTTCCTGATCCAAAGAGCAGACGTCCCACTAGCATGACAGGCAACATGGCAGACGTTCCTTTCAGCATTGCACCAACAGCGAAAGTGCACGACCCGACGACACACAGGAAGGAGAAGAGGAACACGCCCACTAGAAGGGAAACAACTCTTCCACATAAGTCAGACAAAGAACATATTGGTCCAAGAGCAGCTCAAGCGTACACTGATGCATGGTGTCATGGTGTCATAAATATGTACCGGTAAATGAACTTTAAGAGTGGCTGAACTTCCTGCGAAATATCTTAGGTCTAGGTGTAGATGTTGTAAGTAACGTCTAGGTCTAGATGTTGTATGTAAGGTCTAGGTGTAGATATTGTAAGTAGTGTCTAGGTCTAGATGTTGTATGTAAGGTCTAGGTCTAGATGTTGTAAGTAAGGTCTAGGTCTAGATGTTGTAAGTAAGGTCTAGGTCTAGATGTTGTAAGTAATGTCTAGGCCTAGATGTCTAGGTCTAGATGTTGTAAGTAAGGTAAGGTCTAGGTCTAGATGTTGTATGTTGTAAGGTCTAGGTCTAGATGTTGTAAGCAAGTCTAGTCTAGGTCTAGATGTTGTAAGTAAGGTCTAGGTCTAGATGTTGTAAGTAGGTAAGGTCTAGATGGTCTAGATGTTGTAAGTAAGGTCTAGGTCTAGATGTTGTAAGTAAGGTCTAGGTGTAGATGTTGTAAGTAAGGTCTAGGTCTAGATGTTGTAAGTAGTGTCTAGGTCTAGATGTTGTAAGTAAGGTCTAGGTGTAGATGTTGTAAGTAAGGTCTAGGTCTAGATGTTGTAAGTAAGGTCTAGGTGTAGATGTTGTAAGTAAGGTCTAGGTGTAGATGTTGTAAGTAGTGTCTAGGTCTAGATGTTGTAAGTAAGGTCTAGGTGTAGATGTTGTAAGTAGTGTCTAGGTGTAGATGTTGTAAGTAAGGTCTAGGTGTAGATGTTGTAAGTAAGGTCTAGGTGTAGATGTTGTAAGCAAGGTCTAGGTCTAGATGTTGTAAGTAAGGTCTAGGTCTAGATGTTGTAAGTAGTGTCTAGGTCTAGATGTTGTAAGTAAGGTCTAGGTGTAGATGTTGTAAGTAAGGTCTAGGTCTAGATGTTGTAAGTAAGGTCTAGGTCTAGATGTAAAGGTGGTGTAATGTTGTAAGCAAGGTCTAGGTCTAGATGTTGTAAGTAAGGTCTAGGTCTAGATGTTGTAAGTAGTGTCTAGGTCTAGATGTTGTAAGTAAGGTCTAGGTCTAGATGTTGTAAGTAAGGTCTAGGTCTAGATGTTGTAAGCAAGTGTCTAGGTCTAGATGTTGTAAGTAAGGTCTAGGTGTAGATGTTGTAAGTAGTAAGGTCTAGGTGTAGATGTTGTAAGCTAGTGTCTAGGTGTAGAGGATGTTTGTAAGCAAGGTCTAGGTCTAGATGTTGTAAGTAAGGTCTAGGTCTAGATGTTGTAAGGTCTAGATGTTGTAAGTAAGGTCTAGGTGTGTGTAAGTAAAGGGTCTAGGTCTAGATGTTGTAAGTAAGGTCTAGGTGTAGATGTTGTAAGTAAGGTCTAGGTGTAGATGTTGTAAGTAAGGTCTAGGTGTAGATGTTGTAAGTAAGGTCTAGGTGTAGATGTTGTAAGTAAGGTCTAGGTGTAGATGTTAGTAAGGTCTAGGTGTAGATGTTGTAAGTAAGGTCTAGGTCTAGATGTTGTAAGTAAGGTCTAGGTCTAGGTCTAGATGTTGTAAGTAAGGTCTAGGTCTAGATGTTGTAAGTAAGGTCTAGGTCTAGATGTTGTAAGTAAGGTCTAGGTGTAGATGTTGTAAGTAAGGTCTAGGTGTAGATGTTGTAAGTAAGGTCTAGGTGTAGATGTTGTAAGTAAGGTCTAGGTCTAGATGTTGTAAGTAAGGTCTAGGTCTAGATGTTGTAAGTAAGGTCTAGGTGTAGATGTTGTAAGTAAGGTCTAGGTCTAGATGTTGTAAGTAAGGTCTAGGTGTAGATGTTGTAAGTAAGGTCTAGGTCTAGATGTTGTAAGTAAGGTCTAGGTCTAGATGTTGTAAGTAAGGTCTAGATGTTGTAAGTAAGGTCTAGATGTTGTAAAGGGTCTAGGTGTAGATGTTGTTGTAAGTAAGGTCTAGGTGTAGATGTTGTAAGTAAGGTCTAGGTGTAGATGTTGTAAGTAAGGTCTAGGTGTAGATGTTGTAAGTAAGGTCTAGGTGTAGATGTTGTAAGTAAGGTCTAGGTCTAGATGTTGTAAGTAAGGTCTAGGTCTAGATGTTGTAAGTAAGGTCTAGGTGTCTAGGTCTAGATGTAGATGTTGTAAGTAAGGTCTAGGTGTAGATGTTGTAAGTAAGGTCTAGGTCTAGATGTTGTAAGTAAGGTCTAGGTGTAGATGTTGTAAGTAAGGTCTAGGTGTAGATGTTGTAAAGTAAGGTCTAGGTGTAGATGATGTAAGTAAAGGTCTAGGTCTAGATGTTGTAAGTAAGGTCTAGGTGTAGATGTTGTAAGTAATCTAGGTGTAGATGTTGTAAGTAAGGTCTAGGTGTAGATGTTGTAAGCAAGGTCTAGGTCTAGATGTTGTAAGCAAGGTCTAGGTCTAGATGTTGTAAGTAAAGTAGGTCTAGGTCTAGATGTTGTAAGTAAGGTCAAGGTCTAGGTCTAGATGTCTGTAATGTTGTAAGGTCTAGGTGTAGATGTTGTAAGTAAGGTCTAGGTCTAGATGTTGTAAGTAAAGTGTCTAGGTCTAGATGTTGTAAGCAAGGTCTAGGTCTAGATGTTGTAAGTAAGGTCTAGGTGTAGATGTTGTAAGTAAGGTCTAGGTGTAGATGTTGTAAGTAAGGTCTAGGTCTAGATGTTGTAAGTAAGGTCTAGGTCTAGATGTTGTAAGTAAGGTCTAGGTGTAGATGTTGTAAGTAAGGTCTAGGTGTAGATGTTGTAAGTAAGGTCTAGGTCTAGATGTTGTAAGTAAGGTCTAGGTCTAGATGTTGTAAGTAATATTGGTCTAGGTCTAGATGTTGTTGTAAGGTCTAGGTGTAGATGTTGTAAGTAAGTAAGATGTGGGCAGGTCTAGGTGTGTTGTAGGGTCTAGATGTAGAGTAGTTGTTGTAATGCAGGTCTAGGTCTAGATGTTGTAAGTAAGGTCTAGGTCTAGATGTTGTAAGTAAGGTCTAGGTCTAGATGTTGTAAGCAAGGTCTAGGTCTAGATGTCGTAAGTAGTGTCTAGGTCTAGATGTTGTAAGCAAGGTCTAGGTCTAGATGTTGTAAGTAGGTCTAGGTGTAGATGTTGTAAGTAAGGTCTAGGTCTAGATGTTGTAAGCAAGGTCTAGGTCTAGATGTTGTAAGTAGTGTCATATGTATTTGTTCTTGTTTAGTGCTGATCTCAGCAATACTGCAGCTATATGACAGCAGTCCTATATCGACTCTTAACTGAGATACCATGAGATACATCTACAAAATCACTGTGATAAGCCAATTAAGTCAGTTGCCCCTTAAGACACTAAGCATGGGTCTCTTCTGACCTTGACAGTGCTATTTCTAAGATGGTGACATTTTGTAATATGAGCATCCATTTAATTACAGATTTGCACACATTGTACAAGACAAATATACTTGGTCTTGAACTTTAAAATGACTTGAGACAAACATGATCAATGTACAATTTGGTCTTAGTTTCATTCCTGGGTCATTAAGACACATAAGATAAAGACATGTTGTACAGGTAGTTGGAACTCAATTCGATCAATGTTTTTGAAACCTTAAAGGACAAGAGAAAAGAAGTAAGATGTTTCAGCAAAATTCGAACAAACCTGTAGAGGTTGCAGATTACGACAGTTGTAACAATATTTGAATAAAATATTTACAAAACAAAAAACTACGTTTTTGTCTTGTGAGACCACCCCTACAGGGCCCCATGTGCCCCTACAGCCAAGAGCAGGTAACCCTAGACCATAACCTCATACCTCACTTTCCATGCTGACCGTAATCAGACAGAATGTGGGGAGGTGGGCGGCCATTCCCCCCAAGGAGGAATATATTCAAAGAATCTGCAACCTCTACAGGTTTGTTCGATTCTTTTTCATATATTCCACCTTGGGGTACTTATAAGCATAAGACAGACTCCAGACGGCAAGAGGAATTCCTAAACTGAAAATAGCGGAAAAATCGCACTTATCTGGTCAAGTGTCCACCACAGCCAATCGGGCGGGGGCATGAACCAGGGGCAGGGGTCGAACATACTAGCTATATAATGCGAAACCTCAGTAATGTAAACTGCGTTAGACAGTCCCCCCTCCCGCCCATAATTAATCGTAAGGGAAGATAAGGGTATCTGGCAATAAAACCAAGAAGAAATTTGCCTAACAAGCAAAGGTTTCCAAGGCAATTGGTCAAGTGCAGTACGGAGGAATGCAAAGTACATGGGATAAAAACCACCACTATAAAACCCGACACCAAGGGAATAGGTAGAATAGTTTTAAATACCCGACACCAGTTAAAACCGCACATAATTGGTCATTGTCATAAAACCTTGAAAGCTCAATCGGCTAGAGATGTGGAACCCTGTCCAATGGAGAGAACTGACTGACCGAACCGAGCACGCTCGCTGGAGTGTCAAGTTGATAGTAATGGATGAACATACTCGGTCAGCTCCAAATAGCCGTGGAGCAGATCTCAGAGATAAACAGGCAAAACCTGAATGTTGAACTGGTCGCACCACAGTAGAAACTGCCACGCCTCCCGAAGGAGTGACAGAGACACTGTGCCGCCTTGCTTTAGGATGTAAGTCATAGCCATCCGGTTGTCCATTTCTAGAAGAACCACGCAGCCACGAACAAACTCCAGAAAGCTCTCAAACACCCGGCGGACTGCTCTCAACTCACATTGATGTGCAGGTTGACTTCCTGCTCCGACCATAGGCCCGAGACTGAGTGGTCGTCCAGGACACCCCCCCCACCCCCTCAATCATGTGAGGGAGGCGTCCGTCTGAAATGAGAGGGATGGTGTCGGGGTGTCTAGAGGGATCCCCTTGGACAAATTCCCGACTTCCGTCCACCACCGCAAGTGAGGGATCAACCACTCGGGCATCTTGAGTATGGACTCGTAGCTCTGCGAGTGGGACCACAGCTGCGCTAACGCCTGCTGAATGGGTCTCATCCTCAGACACGCACGCCAAACCACATCCACTGTCGCCGCCATGTTGCCAAGCATCCAAAGCCATGTTCGAGCTGACGCATGGGGCTACTCGAGAATCTGTAGAACTGTTCTCTGGACTTTGACGATACGGTCTGGAGCTAGGGAGACAATCCCCTGCTCAGTGTTGAACCTTGCCCCCAAGAACACCAGATCCTGCATCAGAACAAGTTTTGATTTCTTGAGGTTGATAATCCAGCCCAGTTTCACGAGAATATCCATCACACGCAGTGTGGAATCTCAGCTAAACTGTTAGCCTGGCTGAGCTGGGATTAACATAAGTTTGGTGAACACCCTTGGCGCCGTGGAGATGCCGAAGGGGAGCACACGGAACTGGTAGCACTTCACGTCGAAGGAGAACCTGAGGTACTTCTTGAACTCGGGTTGCATTGGAACATGGACGTATGTGTCTTTGAGATCGATTGACGTGAGTCCCTGTCTCGACGGATGAGATCACTGACCTGAGTGTCTCCATCCTGAAAGACGACACCTCTAATCACTTGTTCAACCCTCTGAGATTCAGAATGGTTCTGAACCCTCCGTCTTTCTTGGTAACTAGGAAGTAGGTGGAATAAAACCCCTCTCCTTGCTGACCTTCCGGAACCACCTCGATGGCTGCCTTGTCCAGTAAAGACTGCACATCGGCACGGAGAACATCCGTCTTCTCTCTGGAGGCTGGCACTGGTGTGTGCCGAACCCCGGAGAAGGACGGTGGATCTTGCCTCCACTGTGGGAAATGGCCATCCCTGAGTGTGGACAGGACCCAGGGATTTGAAGTGGCTGCTTCCCACTCCTGAAGGAATAGTGACAGCCAGCCGCCTACAGGGACATTTGGTAGAAGGCAATGCACCCCAACAGTCGGCAAGTCTCCGCTTGCTTGTGTGTGGGGGCAGTAAGGGCTCTAAGGGAAGATTCAACGGGAAGCTGTTGCTTCCCCTGCCCCGAAAAGGCTGCTGTGACTGAGCAGGCCTGCCCTTGCCTCATGCTCTGCTTGCTCCTTCACCGGGGTGGAAGGATAAGCGGTGGCAAGAGGGGAAGGCCGATGGCGAGAAGTGGAGGGGTGTTCCAACAAGGTTTTAGAATCCTTGAAGGTTGACACCACCTCCGCGGCCTCCCGCACTACTTGCAATGCCCCAGGAAACAGGGAAGATCCCATTGTGAATGGCAGAGAAAGCAGTGCTTGTGCTTGGCGAATAGCATGCCACAGAGAGCCATTTAAGCCTGCGCATGCCCATGACCGCACCCATCATCTGGCTGGCACAGCACCTAATGCTGTCCCGAGCCAGATGAGAGTGGATGTCAGTGAGTTGGTGCGTGAGCATGGGCACCGAGTCGTCACCACTAGTGCTCTGATTCACTAGCTGCCCCTGCAAAGCAGACAGGCAGAGTGAACAGCCATGCGGAGTTGCTGTGCTGCACACCGATAAACCTCCTCGAAGGAACGGTATGCAGACTTAAGTGTGGGGGCATTGGCCCGAAAGGGTTGAAGCCGCCTGCCTTGCCTGGCCGAAGCCAGGGAGGAAGTGGACGACTCCCTGAGGGTAATAGAGGCAAACACACACAGGGCGCCACTGATGCCGAACATGAAGGGCTCAAAAGGTCAAGTGGAGCCAAAAGGTTCGAGTCACCCTGCCCCCTGGTGGAACCCAGACCGGGGCGCCAAGGTGCCCGGGAAGAGCCTGCCCCTACAGGATTCCCAGGCTGCCCCAACTGCACACAGGGCGCCGTGGAGCGCCTGAGCTGGTCAGCGCCAGGGCGAATGCCGGTCGGGGCACCATGCAAAGAAAGGTCAAGACTTGAATCGCCGGCGCCGGGTGCATGTGACGAACCTGAGCCCGAAGCTAGGTCGACACAAGGTGCCCTAGACAAACTATCACCTGAGCCCAAGCTCGGATCAAGTTGCCCGGGGGGAGGAGCTATCCCCGAGCCTGGGATCGGGCTGCATCCGTCCCCCCAAAGATGTGCCCGATCCTTCCCTGATGACAGGCGTGCTGAGCTCCTTGAGCTCAATCAAAGATTTCACGGACGACATCTGCTCCTGAAACAAACTTGATAAGGCATCAAATGTTACCACAGGGGCTTGAGCAACAGGAGGTGCAGGGGAGGCAGAGACAGGGGCAGGAGAGGACTCCTTGACTACCTTGGCTTTTTTAGAAGCCAACTCCGTGGAGGAGGAGGCCCCAGCAGGCACCTTCTTTTTATGTGAACGCTTGGACGGGAGATCTTGAGCCCAAATATCACCCCCCGCCCGGATCAGATTGCTGTAAAACAGAGTATCCGCCCGCCGAGGCTTAATCGTTTTAGGCGTGAAACAGGCACAAGCGGGGCAACCTTGTTCTTCATGGTTACCCTACTTCAAACACTGGAAGCACGCATCATGAGTATCTTTGACGGGAATGGATGAATGACACATAGCGCAGGTTTTAAACTGCAAAAGTGAAAAACTGTCCTACAGTGTGCCCCATATATACAATACACAAAACATGCATGGGCGATAAACAACTAATGCTAATATAACACATACATGCATTTAGATGAATAACAGCAGATAATAACAGGCTGCACCCACCGCAACATGACCATAAAATATGACTAATAACGTATATATATATAAAATGCTAGCAGCGGAAAAACACCCTAACCTGCTAAACGAATGCGTAATAAATCGCAAACGTATACATAAATACATTATAACCACATTAAACATTGAAAACCCAAATGGAAGACAATGAAAGAATGAGCATAGCTAAGGCATCCATCCGCCATCTTGACAGGCACATGGCAAGCCGACAGGGACGGGCACAAAGTTACAACAAAAGATGAATGAAAATATTCAGAAACAATCTCTTTATCGCCCATGCAGGGAAGAAAGAGAACCATACATACAGTAGCTGTTTCCGAAGCACTCATCGTGAAGGGAATTCAAACTCAACTCTCTTGAGAAGGGACACACGTCTGGTCAATCAAATGACAGCATGGAAAGTGAGGTACGAGGTTATAGTCTAGAGTTACCTGTCCTTGGCTGTAGGGGCCCGTGGGGCCCTGTAGGGGTGGTCTCACAAGACAAAACGTAGTTTTTTGTTTTGTAACTATTTTATCCAAATATTGTTACAACTGTCGTAGGGATTTTAAAAGGACATTTAAATGCTTATAAGTACCCCAAGGAGGAATATATGAAAAAGAATTAACCCAAGTCTATTAGCATCAGTATGTAACATGACATTACTGTGCTCCACAAAACAGGGCTAACTTTCAGATCCACCACCATGCAACATATTGTCAAGGCTAGCTTATGATCTTGCGATAACATTATACATGGTATTGTCTCAGACTCAGGGATATACGGTCAATAGAGGTATTCATACAATACACCTACCTCTGTTTCCCAGTTTGTCAATGAGGAATCCAGCACCTATGACAACTACAGCATTCCTACAGCAGGTAACGAGGACGTTCATAAACACATTCATAAACACATGGACATGTAAAGTACTGGAAAACATAACTGTGATTCATCCTTTCCATGACTAGGAAATACTGGATTCTATTTGATCAGAGGATTCAAAATTACAATAATTTCTGAATGAGAACTTAATGGACAGATACATCTATGTATAACTATAGATTTCCTACAGCAGTGTAGAATAAAAGAATTTTCGAATCTACTCCTACTAAAAAATTACAATGACTGGCATGTACGTTTAGAATCTCATTTACAAATTGTTTTATTCTTAACGGAACAGTTGAAACCTGTAATAAATACAAATCCAGGTACCACACGGTTGAAAGCCATGAAGGACACAAGACACATAGATGTTGCCAATTGACCATGTATAACCATGATAATCTCTAGGTTAGAAACACAACATTCAGTGGGCCTTACGTCCAAGCATAGATGGCGTAGAGGAGGTTGTAGTCATCCTGCGACATCCCCAGACAGTCGGTGCAGTTGTTGCAAGTGTTGTTGCCAGCATCAACATCAAATGTACTCCCTCCTGTTGAGTTGGTACAGTTGTTGGACTGGAAATTGTTACAGCAACAGTTAGGACACATGATTCGGGTTTCAATTCAATGTCAGACAGAGTGAGAAAGTGCAAAACGTTTCCCCCCTATTGTTAGCAAGATTCCGGCTCTGTCTCAGCAGGGGAGACCAAGCCAGTGGTTTACATGTACCTGTAGTGTGGTGTCATTCTACAGATTACATACCTCACCATGTCAACTTGCTGATGTGTTAACGTTTGGTCATGTGGACAAGGCATCCAACCTCAGCCCTGCAGAGTGCACGCACACACGCACCCTTACATGCATGCACATTCACACACATGCACCCTTACATGCATGCACATTCACACACACGCACTCTTACATGCATGCACATTCACACACACGCACCCTTACATGCATGCACATTCACACACACGCACCCTTACATGCATGCACATTCACACACACGCACATGCATGCACATTCACACACGCGCACTTTACATGCATGCACATTCACACACACGCACTTCTTACATGCATGCACATTCACACACACGCACATTCTTACATGCATGCACATTCACACACACGCACCCTTACATGCATGCATTCACACACACGCACCCTTACATGCATGCACATTCACACACACGCACCCTTACATGCATGCACATTCACACACACGCACCCTTACATGCATGCACATTCACACACACGCACCCTTACATGCATGCACATTCACACACACGCACCCTTACATGCATGCACATTCACACACACGCACTCCTTACATGCATGCACATTCACACACACGCACTTTACATGCATGCACATTCACACACACGCACTTACATGCATGCATTCACACACACGCACTCCTTACATGCATGCATTCATTCACACACGCACTCCTTACATGCATGCACATTCACACACACGCACTTCTTACATGCATGCACATTCACACACGCACTCTTACATGCATGCACATTCACACACACACGCACCCTTACATGCATGCACATTCACACACATGCACCCTTACATGCATGCATTCACACACACGCACTCCCTTACATGCATGCATTCACACACACGCACCTCTTACATGCATGCACATTCACACACGCACTTTACATGCATGCACATTCACACACACGCACCTTACATGCATGCACATTCACACACACGCACCCTTACATGCATGCACATTCACACACAAGCACCCTTACATGCATGCACATTCACACACATGCACCCTTACATGCATGCACATTCACACACAAGCACCTTACATGCATGCACATTCACACACACGCACCTTACATGCATGCACATTCACACACACGCACCTTACATGCATGCACATTCACACACACACTCTTTACATGCATGCACATTCACACACACGCACCCTTACATGCATGCACATTCACACACACGCACCTTACATGCATGCACATTCACACACACGCACCTTACATGCATGCACATTCACACACACGCACCTTACATGCATGCACATTCACACACGCACCTTTACATACATTCACCTGCACATTCACACATGCATGCACATTCACACACACACGCACCTTACATGCATGCACATTCACACACACGCACCCTTACATGCATGCACATTCACACACACGCACCTTACATGCATGCACATTCACACACACGCACCCTTACATGCATGCACATTCAAATCAGCATTGTAATTTCTGCTCTCCTTTGCTAATTTAAGGTTTGATCAATTATTGTATATCTGTGAGACAAACGTTGGATTGTTGCATGTAACTCTGAAGTTTCTGAATTTAGCAATAAAGGTTAAAGGTCACATGCAACGTAAAACACAACTTTGCAGATTCTGATACCTTTCCGTATGGACTTACCGAAACAAAGCGTCAAAAATGCAAATTCAACTTATAAAGTTGAAAAATAACACGTTGAAAAAAACGCGCGAAATCGGAGTTCAAACGTTTCACTAATTTTCCCCAGACTTTTCTGGGGAATACGGGTTTCAACAGCTGGGTTGCGCTCATAGCACGTGCGCAGTGAAATAGGTTCGCGCAACTTGGAAGCGGGCTGTCTTGTGAATACTCGGTGAAGGCTTTGGTGTGAGCTATTTTCCTAATGTTTTGTTGATATCTCACAAGCGCGAGCTTTTGTATGTTATGACAGTAAATAAACTGTTTATATAATTTCATTTGTCTATTTCACCACACGTTCTTCTTACCGAGTCACTTTCTCAGTTCGATACTTAAAAGCAATGTCATTATTTAGAGTTGACACAATTTCTAACTGTGATATAGATATGTCGCTGTCACAGACAAAACTCAATGTCTTGTTTTATTGACACCTGTGTGTCTGCCTGCCTGTCTGCTAATGACAATATTCAATACACAACTGCGATCACTGACAACATGCAATTTGAACTTAACACCAATCAGACTATACACCATAAACAAAACGCATTGATTTATGGCCCGAGTTCGGTCTCTGTCACATTATGTAATTACACAGACAGGCAGGTGTGATACTTGAACACATGACATGTTATGATGTCTGTTGATTGCAAAATGTTATACACAAAAAATGAGCATGTATTTACAAAACCCAACTTTCTATATATACACACACAATGAGCCGTGAAGGCAGCATCTGCTAATGAACCAGCCGTTACACTTGAGTGCACACCCACCCGCTCTGACTGGGTTCGCTATCCCGGCTGCTTCGTTTCGAGGGAGGTAAACCCAAGTACAAAATATTGCACTTTTGATTTGCGATTATACGCTTATAATTTTGTTTATTTGTTTTTTCATAATCAGCAATGCATATTATATGTCATGAAGAAGTGATAATTGTGTTTTAATTATGTTTGATTTTTTGGTTGAATGTGACCTTTAAAACTATCACTTCCATATATTTTGTTTACCTGTGTGAATTCATCTTGGAGCACACTGGGCATGTCGAAACAGAAGTATGAACCAAAGGTCAGCATGCAGTTGAAGAACAGGACCACAAAGCGGTAGCCACCTTGAATACAGAAAGACTGATATAAAGGCAATATTACATAGGAAGTTTAGGATACAGAATTCAATAGACACAAGTCAGGGTCTTGTATTCTTAGTGGTGTTCCAAAGATCGATTATAATCGATAATTGATAGGTTACCCTTTTCCGATGCGACAATCGATTGCAAAATTTCATAATCGATTGTCGCTAATAATTATGAGAAAAACAGTAATGAATACCCAACTCAGACCACAAGACAACAGGCAGTCACCGATAATTATAACTTCTATCCGCATTATTCACAGAAATCATAATCCTTTTGCATCTACTCACCGCCTCGAAATGAAGTGTAGTTGACAGAAAATGGATACGCATACATATTTTATTTTGCTAAATGTCATACTTATTGTAGCTGGCGATCACAACAAACTGGCATGTGCATTTCACCTCATTTCATGCGCGTACAACTTTCGCTTACCATGTTCATGTGGGGTACGCTATTCGCTCCAACCGCGATAGCACCAATTTCAGTTCCAGATTATTCTCAACAATCATGAACTAATTACCACGTAATCATCCATGGAGGCCCTTGTTTACAGTAACATTGGTGGAAACGTGTGTGAAATGGCATGTTTATTTCACCTCACTCCATTCGCGTTCAACTTCCACTTACCATGTTTGTGAGGGTCCATATAACCTTAGTATTGATTAAACATATTTTACATTTATAGAGCAAAACCTGTAACAGGGCTCCATTTAAGAGATGTTAACCTACTTGCACCAGGTGCAACCTAAGATAAAAACCTAGTTGCACCATCCAAATTCCAGTTGCACTGCTTTTATTGCAATATGCAATGTAAGAAATATGGTATTGAATTATGTAGATGTTTTATTGAGAGTTTACCCACTCAAAACTTGAGTTGCACCAGGTGCAAGTTCAGCTAATAGCTAGATTGCACTTTGTAATATTGGGTTGCACCAGTGCAAGTAACACAGAACTAAATCGAGCCCTGTGTAAGTAAAATTACACAATGCTAGGATATATTTGTCTTGGTAAAATAATAGTTTTAGATATTACCGTATATTAATCTTAATTAATTTATAGAGCAAAAACTGTAATTAAAATTACACAATGCTAGGATATATTTGTCTTGGTAAAATAATAGTTTTAGATATTACCGTATATTAATCTTAATTTATTTATAGAGCAAAAACTGTAATTAAAATTACACAATACTAGGATATATTTCTTTGGGTTAACTTATAGTATTCTGTATTATATTTTACTGATGACTGCGTCAGAATTCGTCCCGTTATATTTTGTGCATGTTTGAACTTGATCGCCAGAAACGTGCACAGCTGATTGCTATTTCCGGCTCAGATACACACGGTAATCTTAAACCCTGCAAATAATACAATGCCCAGCAAAAACAACTTAGAACTTAAAAGGTAAATAATCTTGTCTAGTGATGTTTAATTGCAAATTTGACGTCTCTACTGACAAAGTCGTCTTCTGTTGTTTGTTCACGCGAAGTGATACAATGTTGTTTTCTTACCCCTGGAAAAAAGTTTGACGAAAGCGTAACCCATGGATAAGACGACCCCCATCTACATACTGCTTTTTTTGGTCCTCAAAATTCGGCTTATAGAGGGTCATATACTGTATGTTTTAACGATCACTGCGGCAGAATCATCCCATTATGTTATTTGGTATGTTTTAACTAGATCTCTGGGAAACGTGTGCATGGCTGATTTCTATTTCCGGCTTTACATACGAGACAAATAGACATGGTAATCTTAATCCCTGCATATAATACAATGCCTAGCAAGACCAATTAGAAATGAAAAGGTAAATAATCTTGTCGAGTGATGTTTAACTGTAAAGTCGTCTTCTCTTGTCTGTCTGTCATTCAAAACGATACCATGTCATTTTCTTATCCCCTGAAAAAGTTGTTGAAAGTGTAACCCATAGAAAAGCCGACTCCCTTCTACAGACTGCTATTTTTTGTCCTCAAAATTCAGCTCATCTACAGTAATATACGGGACATTAGTGTAAAAAGTGACGATTTGTTGTGATAGTGTAAGCAAAAGAATGAATTGAACAGTCATCTGTTCTATATCTTGGTAGTCTGTCAGTATTTATTTTTGTACACATTTTTGGTTGATCAATGTAGACTTAGGTTGTTTGTAATTTTGTACAATCTAGAATCAAGTGACAATTAAAACTTATGAAAAATATTATATTCAGGAGTTTTTAAGTTCTTGTAGATGCACCCTCAAGTCAGGTTTTTCACAGAAACCAACCACAAAAACTGACATATTTCATTTAATGCTCACAGTTATCACATAATTAAAAAAATGACAAATATACAGTATTGTAAAAGAGTTAAAATGTTTACCTTAGAATTGCACAAGTGTCAAGTTGTAAATTCTTAATCAGTGTAACCAATTGTACAATCAATCATTGATCGGATTGCAACCGATAATCGATTATGATATTTCAACCGATTCCCACCACTCAGTTTTGTCCTGTCGTTCCCTTCTTCTAGCCTAATGTCTCTAACATATTGATATTTTAGGTAGAAATATTTCGGTATCTGCTGTCCAGTAACAGATTATCAGTTAATTATTGGTGGAGTGTAGTGTTAATTAGTTTCATTACATTATGTATGGTAAAGATAGTTAGAGTTTGCATGCTGGGTAATGCAGGTGTGTGGACGTGTTGACAAAGCTCCCACAATGGGTACCGGTATATGTTTCGATCAATATTAAGTCAATATAGGAACAGTCTCTCAAGTCCAAACACAGTATGCATGGAATAGTGATCAGAAAAAAGTATGTTTTGATGACTTTGTGACTAGTCAGGGCGCATACAGCTTTTTGAGAAAGGGGTGGGGTGTGCACACTATTGAGAAAAGGAGGGGTGCACACTTCATTTTCACCCGAGTTTCAATGGTCATTTAACAAACTTTCAGCACCCCTGCACCCCCCCTCTGGATCCGCCTATGCTAGTCTTGGTGTTGTTTATGCTGTTGACTGCATGTGGTGACGACAAGTCCAACCCCGACTCACTGAAGTCGAACAGTCAACATTGTCGCAAGAAGAATCAGGTGAGGTGGGAATCACTAACAGTGTAACACTAAATACACCAATGAAGATAACATTGAACTTAAAAATGACATCAAAGTTTTGAACAATCTACTACAAACTGGATGAGTGAATGATTTTGAAAACTAACACATGTGTGAAAAATTCAATACAATGAAGGACCAGCATGATGGTTATGAGGCTCGATCAAGAAGAAACAAGCTATTCTTCCACGGTATTGAGGAGGAAAGCAGCGAAACTTGGGACAAAGCAGAAAATAGAGATACATACTGGATATTACCCCAGTAGGTGACATTTTAATCATGAGGGCCAATCAACTGCAAAATGGACAACGAAATTGTCCAGTTATTGTAAACTTTGCGCTGTACACTAAGCAAGACTGAAGGTAGCGACCCCTGTCGCTACAAAGTCACATGACTGGTCACATGATTACACATAAAAACAACATTCTAAGTGCAGCAAAGAGGATATTTAGGGAGCAAGCAAACCTACGACACAGACTCTTAGGCCCCCACAAAAAAATATGTCCGTTTCCGGTCACCCAACCGACCCTAAACCTTTTCATAACCAAGTCAAAATCATGACTGGAGTGCATCCAAACCGAGTATGATATTTTCATGTTTTTAGTGTATACTGGGCTAAAATGGATTGCACTGAATTGGCACAATGGGCTTTCACTGACAAAACCTGCAAATACATAACATGAATAATGATTTGATATAAAAATCTTTCACATTTTCACCACACGACATTGTCACAACATTATATCGTACTCTTGAAGACACCTGGTGCTACTAAAAAATAAATTAAAATAGTGAAAAAAAAAGGAGAAGATATAATCGACCCACCTACCCTATATTTGAAAAGCATGTAATAATTTTTTGGGGCCTTAGATGATCTCACTCACTGAGTCAGGTCAGATTTTCACCATTACCATCAGTCAGCTGGCATGTGGGAAGAGGGAGGTGGGAGACGTGTGTTCATATCAACACACATTTCTGATGTAATTATGCTAATATTTGCTGATGATTTATCATCTGTATCTCAAACTGCTTTATAGGTTCAAAAGAAACTTAATGTGGAAAACATTTTATTTGTGCAGAAACTGGAATGAAAATAAATCTCAATAAAACTAAAATAACAGTCTTTCGCAATTGAGGTGCACTTCGAAATTGTGAAAAATGGTTCTTGAATATAGCAGAAGTGGTTAATGTGTACAGACGTCATGGTACTATTTTCACTCCGAAAATATCATAAACAAAGGCCCAAATTTTAAACATGCAGATCAAGCAAGGAAAGCATTATTCTCAGTCTGTAATTATCATAAACAATTTGGATATATTAACCATCATGATCTTTTAAAAACATTTTGATTCTATGGTTACACATATTTTGTGTTATGGATCTGAGATATGGGGACTCATCTACTGCAATGTTATCGAGAGTTTGCACATTGGATTCTGCAAGTCATTGCTCAAAGTGATTAGGTAAGCAACAGTTTGGGGAGAGAGTGGCAGAGTGTCCCTGCAGTATCACTACACCTCCATAGCAGCCCAGTACTGGTGCAGCCTGATTCAGCTACAGCAACATAGACTTCCCCTCCATGCTTATAATTTGATTAAAACTCTTGATGACAATGGTAAAACTACGTGGCAACTCATATGAGAAGTTTATTATTTAACTACGGAATTGGATTCCTGTGCCAGTTGCAAGATACTGTATTTCGTCATTCATAGTAATTTTCAAACAGAGATTTTATGACTGCTTTCTTCAACAATGGCATCAATCACCCAAGTGTAAATTTTACTCTCAGTATAAATCTCTTGTTCATGTTGAAGAATATTTAACCTTGACCTTCTCCCTTATCTGCAGAAAGTAATAACCTTGTTTAGGTGCAATAACTTCAGACTTGCAGTTGTATATGGGTGCCATGCAAATACCACATATCATGAACGTTTGTGCATATGTTACAGTCAGATTGTGAAATCAGTAATTTCATGAAATGACTAAAATTTCATTTCATTTTTTCCTGGGTTAACCTTGGCATTCTCTCTGTGTGACTTTATGTGCAGTGATATTGCAGTGTTGGACAGGCCATTTATACTGTTTTTCGCACGATCTTTCCCATGTATCCGACTAAGACATGTGTTTCATGTTTCTAATAGTCGGGGCCAAAAATGAGTTTTGGCGATTTGTTTCGTGCATCACAAACATTGGCAATCGTTATCAAGCACATTTACATCAAATTTGATGGAAGCGTCCAAACCTATTTATATAGCCAATAGAGAAATGGCTGACCCTCTTAGTCATTTCACGAAATGACTGAAATGTTTAGTTATTTCACGAAATGACTGATTTCACAATCTGACTGTAACATATATTCTGCCATGCTAAGGACTTTGTGTGTATTGAAGATGAATCACACTACCTGCTAATATTCAACAGATATTCACAAGAAGAGACTGCTTTTCGAATCATATGAATAACCCACCAACAACTGAAACCTTTATAAGACTGATGTCAAGTTAAAATAACCATAGTATTAAACGCTTGAGTAAATTCCTAGCACAAGTTCTAAAAGTAAAGATTAAGATTAAATCACCCTTATAACATTCATCAGCATAATTTCCAGCCAATTTGAAGCATGTACATCACTATAACTTTTGCATTCTTGTGTGTGTATGTTGTGGGTTTTTGGACACTTAAGAAAATCCTTTGCTGTCTAGATTATATCGCATGTACAATTGTAAAACATATCACTAACTTAAATTATCCTAAACACAAGCCATCATTTAAAAGTTAGCAACACCCCTCATTACTGCCCGAGTGAACATTTTCGTCCGAAAACATATGACATCAGAAAACTTACGATCAAACATTACTGAATAAAAGATACCAATACTATACATTTACGTATTTCCATATTTACTAAATAATTATAGTATACATTAACATATTCCCTTATAGCATACAGTTACATATTCCCTTCTGTACTAATAGTATACATAGTATACATTTACAAAATCCCTTATTTACATACTCCATACATTTACATATTCCCTTATTTAGTATGGATACATGAAACAATTCCACAGTTTGCAGCCAATCTATACATTTACAGAAACATTTGTTAACAACTTGATCCATCATTCAGAATATCATTCATCCTAAATGACATGGGCGTATGGTGTCAGGTTGATGTCACCTGAACATGCATCAAACACAATCGTGCATTTACTTCGACACACAGGGAGAGAGTAGCTAGATACGTGTTCACCACATGCGACTGTCAAGTGAAAACTCACAATCTGTCGCCTTGAGTCCAGCCATAGCGCTTGTTTTGTGTCTGTCAAATTGCTCGTGACCTTTGAACTGATACTTCCGCATCACATGCGCTAATATCACTAGCTTCTTGCAGCGACGTTTAGAATTCGCAAGCAGCGTACGCCGCATTGAAGCTTCTAGCGACGTGTGACAAGACTGGTTCCACGTATCGCGTACAGTCTGTAGATGATACTGCGCCCACCATATATACTACCCACCAAAAGTTTAGACTCACTTAAAGCAGTCACTATGTGTTATGTATAAACATATGGTTACGTCGAAGATGAATTTCTCCACTAACTTGGGGGGAACCAACTGCAGACCTTATGCAGATGCACTGCACGAGGATCATCCATCAAATTGCTGAAAAGCATGTGCACATATCGTACTTGTGAACTGCTGCGTTTTGGTGTAAAGTTTTGTTAAGAATTTGCCAATTTTCACCGTGTTTCATCATTTATTAAACTCATGATGATAATCTTTTCAACGTTACGAATTTGTTTTACAATGCATCAGTTCATGTGTAAACAGTATCTTTAAACAGTATGGAATATTTTGCACAATCTAGTTTAGAAGAGTTGACTGAAGAAAGCGGAAACATTTATACTAGTGAGTCTAAACTTTTGATGGGTAGTATATATTGATGCATATTTGTTTTCTGTATCAACAATCAATATCGCTGATACAAAACACAACTACACTTACAATATGCAAACTATTAATAGTCGGTCTGTTCAGAAAACATTTGTTGAGACATAATTTACCTGAATTCTGGCATAATAAATTCACTCGAACAAAAATGATCGTAAAAAAACAGGGACTAGTATTTTGATACGCGCATTTCCCGGCTCATAAATAACGTAGAATAATAATACTATTTTATTAAAATATTACAAAATACATACAATGAGAGCAAGCGTAAAATGAAAAGAGGCCGGTCATCATTGGTGTACGAAACACTAACACATAAGACACCAGTTCCTCATTAATTAAGAAGCCTATGAATCATAAGTAATTGGACTTCAGTTAAATTAGAGAAACAACATATTTATAGTACTCTTATATCAGTAAATAGTTTGTTTAGTGAAGACATGGTGATAAACGGAGGATTTATAATTGAGGTGAGGTGAGGTGAGGTTTAACGTCGTACTTATGAATATTTCGCTTATATGACGACGTGCATGTGTGTGTAGGTGTGGCTGCTTGTACTAGCCCAGACTTAAGCTGGTTTTATAGTGCTAGCTCGGTGTATTCCCATACTGCCTACAGTTCCAAACTGCCTACAGGTTAAAACAACATGATAGGGTCCAGTGATCAGGAAATGAAGTTAATGGGAATACACCGCTCTGACCTGTTCTACCCCTGCTAAAATGAACTTGATCAGTTACTTGGTTAATGAACTGACCTGTTCAATGGTGTCTTCCCACTCTGCCTACAGAAGTTAAAAAAATGATGACAAGTGTTGGTTGGTTTATTCATTCTGAGAATTCTCCGTCTCTACATGGAGACGTGGATATATCATGAAAAATTGATAAGTTTTTACTGGTTTTACAGGCAGTATGGGACCTAACCGTTAGCTCACTGAGATACCATTCCGCAAAAAAGCATGAATACCTTATACAGACACATTATACAAGTACCATATTTTAACGTCTTTTGGTATGACGCGGTCGGGGATCGAACCCGCGACTTTCGGCTATCCTGGTGGGCGTTTTAACCACTGTACCATAAGGGCTGTCCGATTCATATTTGAAGCTTTTACATGTCACTAATATTGGGTTTCATCCTCTAAGTTTTGAATATTACATAATGTGAAAAGACGGCCAGAACCATGAGTTTTCAGGCGTGTAAAGGACCCTTTTCTAGATCCAAAGGGGAATGGATATTTTGTATGGCAGCGAAGTCGGGTTAATGTACGTCGTCGCGTCCTATCCAAAAGAGGACGTGCATAAAATAAACGTTCAGAGTACGTTTAAATGATCTAATAGTCCTTTATTAATTGCCTGAGGCATTTTCCCTAATGCCAGTCAGTTTTAATTAAATAATTGGAAAATCTATATTAGTACTATTAGTAAATTAAACATCGTAATATGGCAAGTAGATCCAAGTAATCTTAGCGTACTACGACACCCCCCAACAATGACTCAGTTTAATACAGTAGACCAATATCAGACTGTCAAGGCATGTGAAGTACATCTTCTTTGCTTTTCTGTTTGTATTATTCAGTATGTTTCTAAGGATGGCATGCTGTGTTAATTGTAATATGATGTATAGTCACCCTACTACACCATTCTATTTTCGCACTTCTTTACAAACTGCTAAGATAGAGTGTACAAGTCAGATAAAATGTGTGAAAGCTATCTGACACCATCAGGGCCATGGCAACATGTTTGAAGTAATGACAACTTGAAGGTCGGCAGGTGCGCTAAAATGAGAGTTACCGTTCTTGAATTTGCGTCATGGCGAAGATGTCGCTGAATCCAGAGGCGAACGACCTGTAGCCAGAAAGTAGACGTTTACATATCCATGTCCACACATTTCTTAACGACTTGGGTGTCACTTTGATCGTTGAGGTAAGGTATATCCGAGAATGGAGATCAATTTTAAGTATGTGTCTACTGATAAGGAGAAACACAGTGACACTATCAACCCGTAACGCATGGACGGAAAATGTTTGATCCGAAAATGAAATGTGTGTGGGCTGAAAAGTTTCCTGTTTCACTTTGACGACGGCGTAGTAAATATGTATCATTGGAAAGTTCCACCTGGTTGTAACGCTCGAATTGCTAGCACACAGTTGCTACTGAGGCAATCATATTCAATACTAACAAAATGGTGGCACAGATATGTCAACTTCATCTGTCACTGTCAGTGGCACACGACCATTGCTGACACAAGGCGATGGAATTCACGAGTGCGTCTCGTTGTTAATATTGAAACGACCTTCCTCCAGTGTATCCAGTATATATACTGTGTCTGAGGACCTTGCCATCAATGATAGTATACACACCTAATTTAAGTTGTGCTTATGTAGACATCAGAATAGGCAATAGGAAGGCACACTAAAATGGCACTTCCAGTATGTAGAAATATGCTTCTGAGATTGTAATCATAGTTCCTGGATTTGCATTATATGTGTTCCTGTTTACCAGTTGTAGTGCCTAATCTGCCTATAACGTTTCATTTGTACACAAAATATGTTCAAACATCTTGTTACCATACAAATCTGATCTTTATGTTTATTAAAGGGCATGTAAAGCTCAGCACATCAAGGCTGACAAATATTACATGTATTTTTTGCAGAGGATTTACAAAATGTTAATTGCTAGTTGATCAAACCCTAGGTTACAATATAAATGCCGTGGTTGTATGAAACCAATCACTCATTTACCTGTGCAGTTCCATGCCCCCAGTCCACTATCTCTGTGACATTGTCACATCTTACACAGTCCATTCATGATATCATCACGAAGACCCGAGTTTGATTCCCCACATGGGTACAATGTGTTAAGCCCATTTCTGGTGTCCCCTGCCGTGATATTGCTTGAATATTGCTGAAAGCAGCATAAAAATAAACTTACTCACTCACCATCACTCACCATTCAAGATGTGCATGTTTTCTAGCCTTTTTCATTGTCAAAAAATCAACCAACCAATCAATTTGGATAATCTTATGTTGTGAAATGTTTAATTTTCTTTGAAAATATGTCCTAAAATGTGAAAAAGTATGCAGTTACTAAATCCCTATGGATGGTTAGTGATGTGTCACGTTGTATTGTCATGCACTTCACTGTTGTTGTAGCATATCAATATGATTATGCAAGTTTGTTTACAAACAACAGACATGTCTCTTCTCGAATAAATCAAGCGGAATAAGGGGTTTTCGGCCATTGTTTGTAGACAATGCTTTCAAAAGGTCAGTGTGCTGTTAGTTTTGGAGTCTGGCATTTCTTAACTATCATCAGGATTATGCAATGCATTTTTGAGTTTAGTTTTATGCCGCTTTTAGCAATATTCCAGCAATATCACGGCGGGGGACACCAGAAATGGGCTTAACACATTCTGCCCATGTGGGGAATCGAACCCGGGTCTTCAGCGTGACGAGCCAACGCTTTAACCACTAGGCTACCCCATCGCCCCAATGCATTTTTGAATGAGGTTTTGAAATGATTCTGTCCTCAAGCATGGGTTGTGTCAAATAACAATTTCTCCCCATAAGCTTTGTAAATCATAATGTTTACTTCACTAGATTTTCTTTTACAGATATGGGGTTATATGGCAGCAATAAGAAATAATAACACACCTATTTTGTACTCACAGTTTTCAGTATTATTGAGAACATACAGCTTGCCCAGTGTGCAATATACTTCTGTGAGTAATACCTGAGGAAAGAATAATTTGTCCATGTTTTTTATGGGTAGATTATAGAATATCCAAGGTCCATCCTCAAAATGTTAAACGATCATCCCCTTGCATGGTCTTGTATTGGTTGGGTGAACAATATGGAAGTAATTCGTAATAAATGGGGGATGGGGTAGCCATGTGGTCAGAGTGTTTGCACATCAATCTGAAGACACAGGTTTGATTCCTAACATGCATGCCAAATGTGAAGCCTACTTTTGGTGATGAGAGACTCACGATACAAGACACCACTTTACAACTCCTATATCACAATTCATACTTTGATTACATTGCAAGATATGTTGATGTAAAACATGTGAATAATAACAGTTCAAGAACCTGTTTATACAATTGTCTGTTACTTCCTTGTTGGCTACCAACAGCCACATGTGCACAGGGCCCACAGCTTATATGTTTCCTTCCACAGTATCCCATCTTTGCTGTTTGAAACTTGACAGCAAGTGATTGACCATTGTAATTCATCGAGAAGAAAGTATGTAGTTATGAAATACTAGTACTGTCTCTGGATATGAATCACATCGTACCCATGTTATCTGGATACAAATCACATCGTACCCATGTTATCTGGATACGAATCACATCATACCCATGTTATCTGGATACGAATCACATCGCACCCATGTTATCTGGATACGAATCACATCGCACCCATGTTATCTGGATACGAATCACATCGCACCCATGTTATCTGGATACGAATCACATCGCAACCATGTTATCTGGACCCATGTTATCTGGATCTGAATCACACATCGCACCCATGTTATCTGGATACTGAATCACATCGCACCCATGTTATCTGGATAAGAATCACATCGCACCCATGTTATCTGGATACGAATCACATCGTACTCCATGTTATCTGGATACTGAATCACATCACACCACTCCAAGTTATCTGGATCACGAATCACATCGCACCCATGTTATCTGGATACGAATCACATCACACCCATGTTATCTGGATACAAATCACATCGCACCCATGTTATCTGGATACAAATCATATCGCACCCATGTTATCTGGATACGAATCACATCACACCCATGTTATCTGGATACGAATCACATCACACCCATGTTATCTGGATACAAATCATATCGCACCCATGTTATCTGGATACACGAATCATATCGCACTCCATGTTATCTGGATACAAATCATATCGCACCCATGTTATCTGGATACAAATCATATCGCACCCATGTTATCTGGATATGAATCACATCACACCCATGGTATTGGGATACATATTGTGGCCTCACTGCTATCATTGCATCTCTAGACCACAGGAAACAATATATGAAGGAGGATGGACAATTGTCATAATGCTTCTGACGTCAATGTTTTTGTTGACGATGGGGATTAATCAGTTCATTGTTCCTTTTATGTTTCCAGCACAGGTCGCAATATTGAGGACAGGCAAGATGTACGAAACACCTATAAGCCTGCAGAACTGCTGCGTTGATTTTATCTGTGAAAATCTGAAAGCATTGTGTGATGTCCAAACGTGTCTTGATACCAATCAGACGAAGTACACATTCAAGGATGCAGATGCCTATTTCCATAGCAACCTTTCTGAGCAGCTGATGGCTTCACTATGTGACAAAGAACGTCTGAATGATGAAACCCTGGCTCTGTTTGACCCCAGTGTCACAACATTACGACGCGTTAGCATCAAAGATGCACAATTGACTACAAAAGGTTTACGAGTTTTCAAATCACATCGAATCTCAGAACTAGAGATAACTGGTCTAAAAAGTGTTACTGTGAATGACATCTTCAGTTGCTTAGGTGAATGGACGCTTACAAATCTACGGGTACTCAATGTGAGCAACTCAACCTTTCTAAACAGTGCGAAGTTTTGTGTTGTTGTCTCCTTATCAAAACTGAGAAATCTTCAAAGTTTAAACGTGAGTCATACAGAGTTCAATAAACACGGACTTGAGATTATAGCTGAGGATTTGCCTGGTCTTGAGAGCATCGACATCTCAGGGACGGCGATTAATGATGTGTCCCCACTCCGGAAGTGCAAGGACCGTTTGAAGTCTCTGTCCATGTACAATCTACAGGTAAGGAGTGTATTCCAGAAGTCTCTGTCCATGTACAATCTACAGGTAAGGAGTGTATTCCAGAAGTCTCTGTCCATGTACAATCTACAGGTAAGGAGTGTATTCCAGAAGTCTCTGTCCATGTACAATCTACAGGTAAGGAGTGTATTCCAGAAGTCTCTGTCCATGTACAATCTACAGGTAAGGAGTGTATTCCAGTATGTCCACAGGTAAGTCCAGAAGTCTGTCCATGTACAATCTACAGGTAAGGAGTGTATTCCAGAAGTCTCTGTCCATGTACAATCTACAGGTAAGGAGTGTATTCCAGAAGTCTCTGTCCATGTACAATCTACAGGTAAGGAGTGTATTCCAGATGCAAATGTCCATGTAGGTAAGGAGTGTATTCCAGAAGTCTCTGTCCATGTACAATCTACAGGTAAGGAGTGTATTCAGCTGGAAGGATTGATTTCTGCCATATGTATCTAGGCTGGAAATATTTTGCCATTGTACCTGGGTCTTAATTCTGTAGCAAGTAGTCCTTCAAGAATTTTGTTGTTTGATACATGTTGTCCTTAATTTTCATATATTCCTCCTTGGGTACTTATAAACATTTAAATGTCCATTTAAAATCCCTACGACAGTTGTAACAATATTTGAATAAAATAGGGGGTGAGATCACCCCTACAGGGCCCTACAGCCCCCTACAGACAAGAGCAGTTAACTCTTGACTATAACCTCGTACCTCACTTTCCATGCTGTCGTTTCCCTGGCTAGACGTGGGTCCACTTCGACAAGTGGGTCCCTACGCGACAATGAGTGTTTCTTTTTCCCTGCATGGGCGATTTGGAGATTTGTTCTGAATATTTTCATTGGGCGTTTGTTTCCGCTGCTAGCATTTTCTATATTTACGCTATCAGTCGTAATTGTTAGTTATTTTGCAGTGTGTCTTACTTGTTATTATCAACTTAATGCTTACATTATCTGGAATCCTGTGCTTCGCGGCCTCACGGCCTGTGAGGACACTCACGCAGGTGTGCTTAAGTGATGCCTGACGGAGGCCAATCATGCGAGGAGGAAGGACTGTGCAGCGGTGCTTTTTACCCCTAGACGCATTAAGCTGAGACGTTGATACGCCTGTTTTGGCATAGCAATTTGTTTCGTGCTGGGGCGGTGATATCTGGGGCCAGGATCCCCAGGCCCAAGCGCCAATCACGTAAAAGAGTTTCCTGGAGCCTTCCTCTACCGAATGGCTCCTCCCAAACGGGCGGAGGTTACTAAGGAGGGCTTCCACTGCCCCTGTCTCTCTCCTTCTGTATCTCCTCCTATATCTATATCCCCCTGTACCTACTGTTGCTTCGCACCCGCTGTTACGCTTTATGCATTAATCCAATCTATTTAGAGAACAGATGTCAGTCCGCGGAAATCCCTTGGATTGACATGGCGCTGTCTGGGTCCCGCTGAGCTCAGTCACTTCCGTCGCCAGGTGGATCGACGATCTGGGGCGCTGAATGCCTCCTCCCAGACAGCTTGATCCTGGCTTCGGGCTCAGGTGATGGACTGCCTTCGGCATTCCAGGGCGACTCCTAGCTGCTCTGGTTCGCTTTCACAGGCTTCTGGCGCCGGTGATGCAGGTTTTGTCTTGTTCGCCTATGGACTGGCGGTTTCTCGCCGACCAGCTCAGGACACCGGCCAGTGGTCAGCGTCTGCCGCCTCGGAAAACCTGTAGGGGCAGGTTCCTCTCTGGCACCTCTGCACCCTGGTCCAGTTCCACTCCGCAGGGCGACCCACACTTCTGGTTCCTCTTGACCTTTTAAGCCTTCGCGGTTCCTCGGGCTCTGTGTGGTACTCTCGGGCGGCCTCTTGATTGAGGAGGTACGTGCAGCCGGGATCGCCGCAGGTTGGACATGGAGGAGGATGAGGGGAGAGAGGAGTCGAGGTTGGGGTCCCGCACTCTTTGGGTCAGTTCCCCGCGGCTGGTTCGCTAGTAGGATTTCTGCTGGAAGTACTGCCCCAGGTGGCTGTCCCCGCAGAGACGCCTCCCGGACATGGGGAGTTTCCGCCCTTCGGGAGGCTTTCAGCCGGGTCGCCGAGGTGTCCGCCACGATTTTGGTGGATCTCCAGTGGTGGACTCCAGTTACCCTCGGGGCCGCCCATCGCCATTAGCTTTGGCCAGGCAAGGCAGGCGGCTTCTTCCTTCTCAAACCACGCGCCGACAGCTGGAAGTCTCTGTATACCGGGTCCTTTGAGGAGTAAGTACCAGTGCAGCCCAGCAGTTAGTGGCTGTCCACTCCAGCTTACTCTGTCGTCCGTATTAGCAGGGTCAGCTTGTGGGACTAGAGAACTTTGTGGTGCCGACTTGCCAGTCACGGATAGTTCATTCTCATCTGGCTCGGGACAGTATTAGGTGTGCTGTGCCAGCCAGATGCGATGGATGCCGCCATGCGCAAGCGCTTGCTTTGGCTGTCAGGCTGCCATTCTCCAGTAGCCACGATCAGGCGCCTTGTCTCTGCCGCCGCGCAATGGGGTCCCTGTTTCCTGGGCACTGCAGGTAGAGCTGAGGCCGAGGCGTGTGTCCACCTTCAAAGACTCTAAGCCTTTGTTGGAATCACCTCCATTCTCGCCAACGCCATCCCTCTTACTGCCTTGATATCCTTCTGCCCCGCTTATGGAGCTTCTGGTTGACTGCCCCTTTGCAAGCCAAGCGAGTAGGAGAGCTAGAGGCAGGGCAGGCCTGCCTCCAGTCCCAGCAGCCTTTTAAAGTAAGGCGGGCAAGCGCTCCCCTGCCTCAAGCGAATTTGATCTCGGAGCTCCTTTTTGCTCCCCACACACAAGCAAGCGGAGACTTGCTGCCTGTGGGGTGCGCCTTCTGCCAAACGCCCCTATAGGCGTGTGCTGGTTGTCACTATTCCTCTCGGAGTGGGAAGTAGCCACTTCAAATCCCCAGTCCTGTCCACACCTGTGGGATTTACCATTTGCCACAGTGGAAGCTTTTGTGATCCACCGCCCTGCTTATTCCAGTAAGCCAGGTCTCAGGCAGGTGTTGTTACATTCCGCATTCTGGACGACTGGCTTCTCAGGGCCTTTAGGGTCCTCAGTTATGCGTGAGCATCAACACTGCATGTGATGGATATTCTGCGTTACTGGGCCGATTATCAACCTAAAAATTGTGACCTCGCTCAGACGCAGGATCTGGGATCTGCGTTCTTGGGGCAGGTTCAACAATGGAGCAGGGGATTGTTTCCCTGGCTTCCCAGACCATATCTTCAAAGTCCAGAGGACTGTGTTACAGTTTCTTCTGAGTCTACGCGCTTAAAGCTCAATATGGTCGGCTTTGCTAGGCAACATGTGGCGGCTGCGAAGCAGTGGATGTGTATTTGGCGCATGCGGTCTGAGGATGAGACCCGCTCAGCAGACGCATGCCGCTGCGTGGTCCCACTTCGCAGAGCTAAGAGACTATTCTCGCGACGGAAAGTGATTGATTCCTCACTACTGTGGTGGACGGAAGCCGGGAATTCGGTCCAAGGGGATCCCTTTTAGACACCCCGCACCTTCCTCTCATTTCAGATGGACGCCTTCACAAGATGTGTGTGTGTGTGGGGTCCTGGCTACTCACCTGCGTCTCGGGTATATGGTCGTGGAGCGGGAAGTCAGCCTGTATTAATGTGTTAGAATTCGAGAGCAGTCCGCTGGTGTTCGAGAGCTTTTCGGAGTTTGTTCAGGGGTCGTGTGGGTTCGTCGGAAATGGACAATCAGGACGCTATGAATTACGCATCCTCGCAAAGCCGCATAGTGTCTCCGGGCTAACTCCTTCATGGAGGTGGCAGTTTCTACTGTGGTACGCATCAGTTCAACATTCGGGTTTTGCCTGTTTATCTCCGCTGTAGATTTAACGCGCATGCAGATGCTCTCCTTACATGTATATACTAGCCCCACAATTTGTGCGGATGCTCGACCGGGTTTGCATCTGGGGTGACGAACCAGATTCCTGTGTTTTGCTCTTGGATTCCGGATTTGAGAGCGCTAGCCAACGACGCCTTTCAGCTAGATTGGACGGGCAGGGTACTGTGGGCGTTTCCACCGATACCACTGATCTCAAAGGTCCTGTCTCAGCAGACCAGCTGCAACCAGCTCGCTTACTTGTTTTGCACCCCTTTGGTCGCTCAAAGTTGGTTTCCGGTAATCATCAGGTTTCTGGCTCAGCCTCCTGTTCTATTACCTTTTCGACCGGACCTCCTATCCCAGAACGGAGCGCCCCACCCGAATCCCAGGATTCAGTGGGTGGCTTGGCTGCTGTCCGGAATCGCCTCCAAGTGAGTGGAATTCCTGCACCAGTTGCAGACACGATTCTGGTTTTCGTAGAGGGATTCGACAAACGTTCAGTATGAGGATAGATGGGCCTGTTATGCACGCTGGTGTGTCAACAGGGGGATTCTTGATCCCTTTTCTGCAGATTTAGTATCTGTGTTGGAATTCCTCCAGTCTCGGTTGGATGCCGGTCTAGCCTTACGTGGAAGGCGGCTTTTCTTGTGGCAGTAACTTCAGGCAGGTGGGTAGGCGATATTCAAGCAATGTCGGCCGATCCCGCGCTAACTGTTTTTCACAAAGACAGAGTTAGCAAACGGTTGCCTGATACTTACCGTCCTAAGAGAGATAGTGCCTTTCATGTGACGGCGCCCGGTACCTCTCTACGACGTGCTCACGTCTTAGATGTCTGTAAGACCCTTAAGACTTATATCAAATGAACAATGGGTATCCGTATAACCATTGTTTTGTTGTTATGGCGGGGCAAGGTTGGTACCAAGCAAACCATATCTCTTTTGTCTCTGCCATACATATGAGCTATACTCAAAGGTCGTGATCCCACCTGAAGGTTTGAAAGCTCATTCGTTAGGGCAGTTGCTACATCGAAAGCTTACGCTGCAGCCCTGCCCATTGAGGAGATCTGCTCCGCGGCTATTTGGAGCCGACCGAGTACGTTCATCCGTCATTACCAAAATGACAGACTCTCCAGTGAGCGTGCTCGGTTTGGTCAGTCAGTTCTCTCCAGTGGGCAAGGTTCCACCTCTCTAGCTGATTGAGCTTTCGAGGTTTTTATGACATGAACCATTATCTGCTGATTTTAACTTGTGTTGGGTTTTGTAAAATTTTACCTATTCCCTTGGTGATGGGTTTTATATGGTGATGGTTTTTATTCCCATGTCTTCTGCATTACTCCGTTCTGCTCTAGACCTATTGCCTTGGAAACCATTGCTAAATAGAAGTATTACGGCATTTTGTTTCTTGGGGCTTATTGCTGGATTCCCTTATCTTCACTTCGGATTGATTACGGGAGGGAGGTGGGGTTTATCTCAGCAGTTTACATTAGCGAGGTTTCGCATTGTAATTGTAATGTGTTCGACCCTGACCCTGGCTCATGCCCCCGCCTGATTGGCTATGGTGGACACGTGACCAGGTAAGTGAGCTTTTTTCTGCTATTTTTAGCTTGGGAAATTCCTCTTCTTGTCGGGGTTGTTTTATGCGGACAGAATGCCACTCCTTAGATCCGTCTTTAGGAGTCTGTCTTATGCTTATAAGTATCCCAAGGAGGAAGATATGAAAAAGAATCGAACTAACCTGTAGAGGTTTCAGATTCTTTGAATATATTCCTCCTTGGGGTACGCCCGCCTACCTCACCACATTCTGTCTGATTTTGTTCAGCATGGAAAGTACGAGGTACGAGGTTATAGTCTAGAGTTACCTGCTCTTGGCTGTAGGGCGCAGTAGGGCCCTGTAGGGGTGGTCTCACAAGACAAAAACGTAGTTTTTTGTTTTGTAAATATTTATTCAAATATTGTTACAACTGTCATAGGGATTTTAAATGGACATTTAAATGCTTATAAGTACCCCAAGGAGGAATATATTCAAAGAATCTGAAACCTCTACAGGTTAGTTCGAATTGTCAAAAAAGATTCAAAATAGCAGTTATAAAAATCTTATATAAACATATTAGTTAAACTTAATGTGAAGGATCTAACCCTAGAAGCAAGAATGATGAACAAATATTGAATAATGTATCTGAGGCCTATGTTTTGTTTTTGCCAGGTGACGAACACAGAGGACTTGGTGACAGTGTTGTGTGAGCTGACTCAGCTCGTCCATCTGGACATCTCCAGTGACAGCTCCCAGTCTTTCATCAGTATTTATCCGCCCAAGTTTCAGATTACCTCCCTTCTTGAGAGGAGCTTGTGTCACCCCAACTTGACGTCGCTGGACATATCCGGTAGAGATGATGTTGCTGAAGATTTACTCAAGTAAGTAGCCATGATGGCAGCTGATAACTGCCCACCTGTTTGAAGTGTGTGTTATCTGTAATAATGTAGATGCATGACACTCACTGAACAAGAGGAATTCTACTGGAGCCTTAAATTCTTTTTGCAGTTGATTGGTAGGCTTCAGAATTAACATATTAAAGGGCCCCTTTGCCCATGAGTGGTTTTCATCACCTATCCACCCATCTACCTGCACACTCATTCACCTGGCCGCCCATCCACCTGCCTGCCCCTGTCCGCCCATTCACCGGTCCACCCATCTACCACCCACCCATCCACGTGCCTGTCCATCCACCTGTCTGCCCATCTTCCTGCCCACCCATCCACCTGCTTGTCCATCTGCCTGCCTCCCATCCACCTGTCCGCCCATCCATGTGTCTGTCCATCCACCTACCATTTCACCTGCCGCCATCCACCTGCTCGTCCATCCACCTACCTGCCCATCCCTCTGCCCCCCATCCACCTGCTCGTCCATCCACCTACCTGCCCATCCCTCTGCCCCCCATCCACCTGCTCATCCAGCCACCTGACCCCATCCATCTGCCTGCCCATCCACATTTCTGCCTGTCCACTTGCTTCCTCATCCAACTGCTCCCCCATCCACCTGTCCGCCCATCCAGCTACCCGCCCATCCACCTGTCTGCCCATCCACCTGCTCGTCCATCCACGTACCTGCCCATCCACCTACTCATCCATCCATGTGTCTGCCCATCCACCTGTCCACCCGTCCCACCTACCCACCCATCCACCTGCCCACCCGGCCCACCTACCCACCCATCCACCTGCCCACCCATCCACCTGCCGCCCATCCACTGCTCGTCCATCCGCCTATCCGCCCATCCACCTTTCTGCCCATCCACCTGACCACCCATCCACCCGCCCATCCATGTGTCTGCCCATTCACCTGTCTGCTTATCAACCTGCCCCCCCACATCCACCTGCCCATCCACCTGCCTGCCAACCCAACTGTCTAGCCATTAAATTTATATTTTTATGGAGATTTCAGTTCCCAATAACTGTTGTCTGAACACTGAAACTGTTCATAAAGAAATCACTACATTGTTCTCAACATGAAGTACAAGGTTTGTCAAAATGTATTAAAGATCTCATCTCTGATTGTGGCTTTTATTAATATCCATTATCATGATTATATTTCTATCAAATGGTGATAAGGTGAAGAGGTGACTCCCAAATGGAAACACAAAGGTTAACCCGGAAACTGGAATATACAGAAGGAAAAACTCTGTAGATAACCACACAAGATCACTGGGCCATTAACGGATCATCATGATCATGTTGCAACAGCTTCACAGTTTCAAATGGTGATATAAGGAGCCTAATAAGGGGCAGCAGCAGTAGGAACCCTTCTAACATGGGTCCTTGCACTCATAGTATCAAGGATGTCTTGAAATCTCACTTCATGTATCATCTTGGCCACAACAGCACTGTTTAGTCAAATTGCAATGATCTCAACATTTATGTGACTGTGTTTTTTTGAGTTGATTGTAACATGGTTGCATGTGTTTGTCTGCAGGACATACTTGAGCCATCACCAACGTCTTCGGTTCCTTGGCCTGGCTCTCATCAAGGCCTGTCAATACTCCATGTTCATCGACGAATGCCCTGAATATCGAAATGACATTGTGGTGTGTGCTAAACTCACTTTCCTCATACTGAATATTGACCTTTGAGTAGGCGGAGATAAATACCTGTTTCCGCATGTGTTGTCCTCATAATCTCAGGAAATTATAAGCTAACTGTTTGGTCTTTTTTTGTGTATAAACCATTCAGATAATTCACAAATAATGTTAAAGTGAATAGTTTAATGAGACAATTAGCGATTTAAGTTAATCATTGTTGCTTGGAAATTTAATTGAAATGATAATGTTGTGATTATGTTGCCTGCTAACACATTTCTTGGCACACCTGCAGGTGACAGGTGAGGCTAACGAGAAGCAGATCGTGGAGGCCCTGCGGAGGTACTCTACACGAGCTGTCTATGTACAGAGAGCCCTGTTTAAATTGTTCAGTTTCTCCCAGACCTGGCTTGAACCCCGGAGAGACATAATCAAGGTCAGTCACCTCAACTTGTGTACAATCATTGTGTTTGAGAAAATATAAACAGGGTGTGCCTTAAAGGGTAGTGTCATCAGGGTATATCTAGGATGTTCAACAAACCCATTTGCAGGGAAATTTGAAAATTAACATCACTTTGTGTAAATTGGAATTAAGTTATTATTTTCTTAAATTATAGGGTATTTAACCTCTTCTCTTGATACAAGAATATATCTTTCTACTTCCTGTTATCAGTGAAGGTGAAAGTTGTGTTATTGTTATAACTAAATGAATATGAATTGGCAAATTTGTAATTACCAAATGGAAATTTGAACTGACTACGACTGGATAATTTGGGGTGAATATTGGCATCTGTACAGGTGGAGATATATCTGTGGCTGTCTCCATACCAAGCCAAACTCCAGCTATCTGTATGCATGCCTCCTGGCAATACCCCAGTACTTGATCCTGAAGTGTGGCAGATAGTATTACCACATGAGTCCCACAGAGAGCGCAAGGTCGCTGGTTGGATCCCCGTCCGCGTCATACCAAAAGACGTTAAAATATGGTACTTGGTTGACCCTGCCTGGTGCTCGGCATTAATGGGTATAACAAGGAATGGTCGGCTCGGAAGTCAGTATAATGTGTCTGAGTGGGGTATTCATGCTTAACTGCGGCATGGTATCTCAGTGGGCTAGCACTATAAAACCAGCTAAAGTGTGGGCTAGTACAATCAGCCACACATAGAGAGAGTTGTTGTTGCTGAATGATGTAATGTGTCCCCATGTTTCCAGGTCGTGCTGCCGTCCATGAAGGGGCACCCGAAGCAGCTCGGGGGTACAGATGGCTGCCACAGCCTGTCTGTACAATCTTACCAAGTCAGAACTTGGCTCCAAACTCCACCCAGGTTGCCTGAAGAGTGTGGTTGATCTGACCCTCACGGCCATGGAGAACTTCCCCAATCATCAACAGGTGGGAAAACTCATGAGATGTTGTATGGTCGGCACAGTTTATTCACATGATCAGTTCTTGCAGTGGGGACTCCTGTTTAGAACTGGTCCCCTGCAACTTGCCTGTCATACCGAGTGGCTTAATAGATTTGTGATTATGATTTATGACATGTTTGATTTGCTTCTCGTCGTACTCTGATGGCATTAATTGTTGTTTCTCATTATTTGATCTTAATTATCAAAAGTGCACTGTCATGTAGCTTCTGCTGAATAATGTTAGACAACCATAAGATCAAGTCGATGGTTAATGGCTGCCCAGCATTTCTAGTACTTTGTTTCTACATATTAAGTTTGATACGTTTATATGAACCCTTTGAGCACACTAAGTATTTCTGTTTAGCTTCAGAAGAATGCCCTCTTGACCCTTTGCAGTGATCGCATCCTTCAAGACGTGGTGAGTACAGTGAAGATCCCAAACCATATAATGTGTACCCTCCTTATTGACTGTACATTCAGTACCATCAGTATTATTGGTACCCTCCTTATTGACTGTACATTCAGTACCATCAGTATTATTGGTACCCTCCTTATTGACTGTACATTCAGTACCATCAGTATTATTGGTACCCTCCTTATTGACTTATTATTGGTACCCTCCTTATTGACTGTACATTCAGTACCATCAGTATTATTGGTACCTCCCTTATTGACTGTACATTCAGTACCATCAGTATTATTGGTACCCTCTACCTTCAGTACCATCAGTATTATTGGTACCTCTCCTTATTGACTGTACATTCAGTACCATCAGTATTATTGGTACCTCCTTATTGACTGTACATTCAGTACCACCATCAGTATTATTGGTACCTCCTATTGACTGTACATTCAGTACCATCAGTACATTCAGTACCATCAGTATTATTGGGACCCTCCTTATTGACTGTACCTTCAGTACCATCAGTATTATTGGTACCCTCCTTATTGACTGTACATTCAGTACCATGAGTATTATTGGTACCCTCCTTATTGACTGTACCTTCAGTACCATCAGTATTATTGGTACCCTCCTTATTGACTGTACATTCAGTACCATGAGTATTATTGGTACCCTCCTTATTGACTGTACCTTCAGTACCATCAGTATTATTGGTACCCTCCTTATTGACTGTACATTCAGTACCATCAGTATTATTGGTACCCTCCTTATTGACTGTACATTCAGTACCATCAGTATTATTGGTACCCTCCTTATTGACTGTACATTCAGTACCATGAGTATTATTGGTACCCTCCTTATTGACTGTACCTTCAGTACCATCAGTATTATTGGTACCCTCCTTATTGACTACCTTCAGTACCATCAGTATTATTGGTACCCTCCTTATTGACTGTACCTTCAGTACCATGAGTATTATTGGTACCCTCCTTATTGACTCTACCTTCAGTACCATCAGTATTATTGGTACCCTCCTTATTGACTGTACATTCAGTACCATCAGTATTATTGGTACCCTCCTTATTGACTGTACATTCAGTACCATCAGTATTATTGGGACCCTCCTTATTGACTGTACCTTCAGTACCATCAGTATTATTGGTACCCTCCTTATTGACTGTACATTCAGTACCATGAGTATTATTGGTACCCTCCTTATTGACTGTACCTTCAGTACCATCAGTATTATTGGTACCCTCCTTATTGACTGTACATTCAGTTTACCCTCCTTACCATGAGTATTATTATTGGTACCCTCCTTATTGACTGTACATTCAGTACCATCAGTATTATTGGTACCCTCCTTATTGACTGTACATTCAGTACCATCAGTATTATTGGTACCCTCCTTATTGACTGTACCTTCAGTACCATGAGTATTATTGGTACCCTCCTTATTGACTCTACCTTCAGTACCATCAGTATTATTGGTACCCTCCTTATTGACTGTACATTCAGTACCATGAGTATTATTGGTACCCTCCTTATTGACTACCTTCAGTACCATCAGTATTATTGGTACCCTCCTTATTGACTGTACATTCAGTACCATCAGTATTATTGGTACCCTCCTTATTGACTGTACATTCAGTACCATCAGTATTATTGGTACCCTCCTTATTGACTGTACATTCAGTACCATCAGTATTATTGGTACCCTCCTTATTGACTGTACATTCAGTACCATCAGTATTATTGGTACCCTCCTTATTGACTGTACCTTCAGTACCATCAGTATTATTGGTACCCTCCTTATTGACTGTACATTCAGTACCATGAGTATTATTGGTACCCTCCTTATTGACTGTACATTCAGTACCATCAGTATTATTGGTACCATCAGTATTATCAGTACCTTCAGTATCATCAGTATTATCAGTACCATCTTTACCTTCAGTGTTATCAGTACCTTCAGTATCATCAGTATTATCAGTACCTTCAGTATCATCAGTATTATCAGTACCTTCAGTATCATCAGTATTATCAGTACCTTCAGTATCATCAGTATTATCAGTACCATCTTTACCTTCAGTGTTATCAGTACCTTCAGTATCATCAGTATTATCCTTCAGTATCCAGTATTATCAGTACCTTATCAGTATCATAGTATCAGTACCATTGTTCCTTCCACTTTATCATCAGTACCATTAATATTATCAGTATGATCAGTTGTGTATCCACTTCATCATACCAGCTTCTAAATGCCACTTAAGGAAGTTATATGCCATCTACATGTAGAGATGGCAATTACACTTGTCAACAAACTCAACAACTTGGAGAAGAAATACATCCGCTCTTCAAATCACCTCACTTTCAACACGCTGTACATCTACCTCTTCTATTTTATAAACCAATACCCGCCATGTAGATATTTCTCCTTGTGCAAATGTTGTGTATCATTTGCTTGATAACAGTTTCAGGATCTACACTGCAACGTCGCAACTACTACTGCAACAAAGAAGTTGTCTATCCATAAAAAGTGTTCCTATTCATCATACCAGCTTCTAAATGCCACTTAAGAAAGGAAAATATTATCAGTACCATCAGTATTATCAGTACCTTCAGTACCATCAGTATTATCGGGTGGCGGTTGGGTGGCCTAGTGGTTAAAGTGATTAATTGTCACGCCGAAGACCCAGGTTTGATTCCCCACAAGGGTACAATGTGTGAAGCCCATTACTGGTGTCCCCAGCTGTGATATTGCTGGAATAGTGCTAAAAGTGGTGTAAAACTAAACTCACTCACTGTACTGTCAGTACCATTGGTACCATCAGTTGAAGTAATGCTACTCTGAGGTTGGTTTAGTGCTCACAATCATCATGTTATGAACAAACAAGATCATTTATTATTTTACAGAACTTTAATCGATTCCGATGTGCCCGGCTAGTCATGGAGTGTTTATGTTCCTTCGAAGACCCTTCCATGAACAGGATGTCAGTGGCAATCTGCTCTATACTTGCTGCCAAGGTAAGGATAAATCTCTTCTGTCTGCAGGAAGCTACAATTTGTAGGCACCCCCCCATCTTGCACAAATTGTAGGCAGCCCCCATCTTGCACAAATTGTAGTCGACCCATGAAGGTCCGGGTTAGAATATTGATCTTCAGTAACCCATACTTGTTGTAAGAGTCGACTAACGGGATTGGGTGGTCAGGCTAGCTGACTTGGTTGACACATGTCATCATTTCCCAGTTGCGCAGATCGATGTTCATGATGGTGATCACTGGATTGTCTGGTCCATACTCGACTATTTACAGACCGCCGCTATATAGCTGGAATATTGCTGAGTGCGGTGTAAAAACTAAACTCACTCACTCACAAATTGTAGGCACCCCATCTTGCACAAATTGTAGGCAGCCCCCATCTTGCCAATCTTGAAAGGCACAAATTGTATGCATCCCCCATCTTGCACAAATTGTAGTAGGCATCCACATCTTGCACAAATTTGAGGCAGGCACTTCCATCTTGCACAAATTTGTGGGCATCATCTTGCAGTAGGCACTCTTGCTTGCACAAATTGTAGGCAATGCCTCATCTAGCACAAATTGTAGGCACCCAATCTTGCACAAATTGTAGCCGCCCCCATCTTGCACCCCTTGTAGGTGTCTGATGATGTTTGTTCATCTGCCAGATATCAACAGAGCAGACATCTATCCTTGGTGCCAAGTCTCGGTACATGAAGAAGTTGCTGTCGCTGGTGAAGCAGCGAATGGAGTCGGTGCAGATTGACATCACCCTCAAGTTTACTCTCAGTGCTCTCTGGAACCTCACAGGTCAGTCACATGATATTATGTTGCTGAAACAGCGATGTACACTTACACCACATTGAGAGTTCATATGAAGTACAATTCAGGAATTACAGCTTAATTTCTTAAAACATTACATTAATTGAGGCTTATCAAATATTGTCTTAGCAGTTTGTTTCATGTATGGTATATCCTCAAGACTCAAGTTTGATATATAATATGTGCTTGAGTCTGTTCATACAGGCTATTTCACGTTGAACGTATCGGGTAGTGTGTCCGACATGTCATAACACACAGCTGTTACTTCCAGATGAGTCAGCACCCACCTGTCATGTGTTCCTCAACGAGAGTGGCCTGGAGTTGTTTATGAAAATGTTGCAGGTGATGATGCACTTGATGATATCTAAATGTCACACACTCTATCATGGCTAGTGCGGGGGTAGCCTTGTGGGTCAAGTGTTTGCCCATACAGAAAACATGGTTTGATCCCCATTATGGGGACACTTTGTGAAACATACTTTTTGTGTAAATGATATTGTATAACTGCAAAAAGTGGCCTCCAATTATGCTATATTTTATGATCAGATGATACAGAAATGGTAATTGTTTCATTACATCAAGTTGCCACTGTCCTTCCAGGCAATATACAACTTTATCACTCTTGGCCAGTCATTTTATCTTGAATATGCTTCTAGATTTGTCCATGCCATACCTTCACCGTATCACCCAAAAGTAACTGGTACTATTCAAGCCTTGTTTAACTCGCTATCATCCTTTAAACATAATTCCATACAATCTCCACTGTAGATACATTGAATGTGTGTCACTGACTCTGATGTTGCAGACTCTGAATGACACTCTTGACCTGGAGAATGAGAGCAGGGTCCAAGTGGAGACCAAAATACTCGGGCTGCTGGTGAGTGAGAGATTCATTGAACCTGGGAGGGGTGACTGGTCACACAGGAGTCAGGGATGGGGAGACTGGTCACACAGGGATAAGGGAGGGGAGACCAGCCACACTGGAGTCAGGGATGGGGAGACCAGTCACACTGGAGTCGGGAAGGGGGAGACTGGTCACACTGGAGTCAGGGAGGGGGAGACCAGTCACACTGGAGTCAGGGAGGGTGAGACCAGTCACACTGGAGTCAGGGAGGGGGAGACCAGTCACACTGGAGTCTGGGGGAAGAAGGAAGGGGAAGGTCATCACACAAGTGTTTCCTTTGGGGAAGCTCATGATAGAACTCTCTCCTTCAAGGAAGGTTAAGATGGGGCTGTATTCTTAAATATGAGTCATATGTGTTGAAACTGAGTGCTTCTTGAAGGAGGGGGAGAGTTGTTTTCTTGAAAGAGCACTGTGCTTGTTCTTTGGTGTGGTGTTATCAGCTGGGTGTTATTGTGTTTCAGAACAACATTGCTGAAGTTCAGACCCTACGACAATCCCTGATGAGAGAGGACTTCATCATGCTGGTCAAGTAGGTGTCTGTTTGTTGTTTACAATGCCTTCACTCTATAAAGGAAGCAGGGATGACCCATTGGTCAGACATTTTGCTCTTTCTGTGCACAGCTGCTTCCATTAGCCCTTGCTGCAAACTTGAGTCCGAGATTTTTGGTCTGTTGACTTATACTGTTTTCAACAAAACTCATTCACTCTCACTACATAGCAAAGCCTAAACTTCAAATGGTTTCATGGTTTTATGATGTTTATTTATCTTATCTTAAAAGTTTTTATCATGAACAATGCATTTTGTAATATGTTATGTAATATGTAACTGTGTGGCTCTTTGTTCCAGACGTTTGCTGCACACAGAGTTTATTGATGTGAGTTACTTCGCAGCAGGGATTGTAGCTCACCTGGCCAGTGATGGGGAGGAGTCCTGGCTGCTGGCCGGCACCCCCCGCCCGCGAGGATATTCTGGAAGACCTGGTATGTCTGCCCCTCAAATTATACAAGACAGACTCTCTGAAACAGTGCTGTGATAAGGATGACCTGGCAAACTGTCATTCTGTTACAGAGATATAGATTTGTTTTAGCTCCCAAGGGTCATACAGTCTATGGAAGGCCTTGAATTGTAAGATCCCTTTTTATAAAGTATGAATGATCCTCATTCTGCTTTTAATGACCAATATATTGCATGCTGGATTTAAAACAAAATATTGCCAGTATGAGTCCTACTAAAAGCCTTGAAAAGCAGTTCTAAACCTTGAAAGGCCATGCATGTCGGTGTTGAAAAGCTCTGGGCAAGGCTATTGTTAAGATGATGAGGCCCCAAACATTTTGGTAATTTGAGAAGTTTCTGTTCTGATAGAGATGAATAAGGTCACAGTAAATGGAATGTATGTTTCTTGTAATGGCAATGCAGGCTCGCTGACTTGGTTGACACATGTCATCGGTTCCCAATTGCGATAGATCGATGCTCATGCTGTTGATAACTGGATTGTCTCGTCCAGACTCGATTATTTACAGACCGCCGCCATATAGCTGGAATATTGCTGAGTGCGGCATAAAACTAAACTCACTCACTCATTCACTGTAGTGGCAATGTTTCAACCTACCTGGTTTCAGTGTTTCCATGTGTGTTCAGCTAGGACTGGTTTGTGTGTCAGTAAACTGCCTCCCTTGCTCTTCACCTACTTGGCTTAGTCAACATGTGTGAAGATATTGAGAAGTAATGGATTTGTTGAAATAAGTGGTTATATTAGAGTCCCAAGGTTCCACAGTGTTATGTGTTATGTGTTTCAGGCTACGGTTGTACGGAGATGGCAGCAGCCACAGAGTGAAATGGTGGCATACAGGTCAGTTGTTGGCTCACTACAGGCTGAGTGGTGGGGAAAGCATGGTGATAAAACCAAAGATTTTATGTTTGCGATCTGCTTGATAGTGTGAAAACAAATATCAATGTATTCATTACAATTCTACAAGAGATTGACCCATGAAGATCTGGGGTAGAATAGGTCTTCAGCAACCCATGCTTGCCACAAAAGGCTGACTATGCTTGTCGTAAGAGGCGACTAATGGGATCGGGTGGTCAGGCTCGCTGACTTGGTTGACACATGTCATCGGTTCCCAATTGCGCAGATCGATGCTCCTGCTGTTGATCACTGGATTGTCTGGTCCAGACTCAATTATTTACAGACCGCACCATATAGCTGGAATATTGCTGAGTGTGGTGTAAAACTAAACTCGCTCACTCACTCACTCACTACAAGAGATAAAGTCTTTACATGTCACAGTGGCAAAGACCAGATAGTGCCACCAGTGGTAAAGCGAGAAAAATATTTAGCTTTTGTAATGAATCAAATCAGTATGTTTCATATCTTGAAAAAGATTTATGATATTGTTGTTTGACTGTGTCGTTATTTTTCCAGGTCATTTAATCCGTTCTTCCCCCTGTTGGACTGTCATGATGCTCCCTCTGTGCAGCTGTGGGCTGTGTGGGCTATCAACCATGTCTGCACAAAGAATGGTAGGTCTTGGTGTGTCTGAGTGCAACTGTGGGCTGTGTGGGCTATGAATCATGTCTGCACAAAGAATGGTAGGTCTGGGTGTGCCTGAGTGCAGCTGTGGGCTGTGTGGGCTATCAACCATGTCTGCACAAAGAATGGTAGGTCTGGGTGTGCCTGAGTGCAGCTTTGGGCTATATGGGCCACAAACCATGTCTGACTTGGAGAGACTCGTAACATGATGCATGTAAATGTGAAACAAACCTTATGGTATCCCAAGAAAGATAAACCAGCAACATAGTTTGAAAGAGGTCATCCTTATGGTACACATATCTTCATGTGCTGATACACCCCTCGTTCAATAGAAACCTATGGTTTTCTTAAGACAGGATTTGTTGTCTTCCTTGGGGTCCATATATGCATTTGTTGTACTCACCTCAGCAGATCTACTCCTCCAAGGCTGTTTACCAAACTCAAGTGTTTTTGGGGTTTTTCACATTTTTTTATTCACATCAGTAGGTACATTCATTTTATACAAAAATCATACACATTGACAGGTGACATACACATTGACAGAGTCTTCCTTGGGGTAGGACCTCCCACCTCCCCACAATTCTTTTCAGCAGGAAATGCATATATGAACCCCAAGGAAGACTATCTTCATAGAACTTAAAAATCCCTAAAGGTTTGGCTAAACTTTGTGAGTGCACGCTGTTTATTTTTTCTGTGAAACTGTGTTGACCTAAAACCTAATATGAGGATCAGGTGATCCCAAGATCACAGATGACAGCACTCATTCCCGCTCTCAACATTTACAGTCATTCCTACTGTGACATGTATGTAATGTGTTTTCAGGCAAGCGGTACTGCCCTCTGTTGAAGGAAGAAGGAGGTGTGGAGAAGATTCACCAGCTGGTGGTTGCCAGTGCCGATCTCAATGTAGTCGGCATCTCAAAAACAATCCTCAGCCTGCTGCAAGAACATGTGAAAAGTGTGTAGACCGTGCCTTCACTTTGACTTCACCTCAACTCCTGGGCAGACAGGAACTCCTACGGGGGGTTTGTTGGTTAGGCGTAGGAATTTCAGTGCAATCAACAGAGAACGAGATGATCAGGGATCTTGTGTTTCCAGGAACTTACGGACCAGTTGTTAGGAATTCTACATGGGCAACTTTGCCAGATACAGAAAGTTGTTGTAAGAGCTGGTATTTGGTATTTTGGTGTGTGGGGTATAAGTTGTGTATAAATCAGCTCAGTCATTGTCAAGTTAGGGATTGCAGCAGCATACACATGGAGTATATCACTGGAGCTGGAAAAACGTTCATGTAGCTTCTCCATGCAAGTAGTGTGTGCACGAGCATAGCTACATGGGTCATAGATGGATGGGTGATAGTTGAAAGACATCATGACCTGGAAGAGTAATTTCAAGATGGCTGTCATTCATGATGACAGTGATGCATTGTGGGTGACAACATGGAGGATGCTGAGGATGTGTGAACTGCATCCTGGAGATGGAAGCAGCCATTACAACGTTGGCAAGATTTTGTATCCCAAGTGACATTGATGTGATTTATGGACTCATTCTTTAGTTTGTATTCCAGTTGACATAATGGATGATGTACAGTGACTTGACATGGTTATATATGTAGTAGTGTATTTATTATTTCCTGGTTGTAATATTATCAGCTGTAACACATGGAGTGGACTGTATGGTATTACTGAACATAAACAGCTGGATGTACAGTGGTTCACCGAGTCAGATAAAGGGAGACAACTGTATTAGACACTGTTTTGACCAACCCTGACGTTTCTTGAGGGCTGTGAAGATAATGGACTCTCTTTCACTGCTTTTTGTGGTTGTTTTGTTGTTACATGTTAATTACATATTATCCACTATGTATTTCAGTTTCCAAGGATAAGCACTTGTCTTATTAATGAAAGATGATCAAATTTTTGTATTGTGTGTTCTTGTGCTTATATTATGACTGAAAGACATGTTGGAGTTTCTTGAAATTTGACATTTTCATAATGGATCTGGGGTGAACCCTAAAATTTTGATAGATTACACATTAAAATATTTCATTTAACGGTACAAAATCAGTGCTGATAAGACATATGAATTTGCCATATTGTGGTCACATGTTGTGGTGTTTGGTGCAATTGGAGTCTAAGTTAATTTCAGTGTAAAATAAAGAAGGTGGTATTCGGCTACGGACAGGAAGTAAGGTAATGGTATTGTTATTCACTGCTATCCCTGTTGCAGTGTCCCCTTACCACTCATACAGCATTGTTCCACAAACAAATTGTCGGTTACATTTTTATGATTTAATGAAAATAGTTTTTTTAAATGCTTTTATGAGTGGATTTATATCCTTAAATTCTGATCACAGATAGGCCTTTAACTCATAAACATATCTCTACTGCTATCATACTGGTGAGACGTTAAAAATGAGCAACCTGACAACTCTTTTATTATTACTGCAATCAGCGTTCGAAATAAACGTGTCATTAGGCCCTAGACCGGATGAAAATCACTCGGACCCACAACTTTTGTTTTCTGCAGGTCCTTATGGCAGACAGCTTTTTCATCCCCAATAACTAAGAGTGTTATTTCCATATTGAAATATAGGGCCTACACTTCTGATCAGGACCCACAACTTTTTATAGTTCTGGGTCCTTAGGGCCTGCAGCTGTTCAGGGTTAAGGGCCAACACTGACTACAATGGTATATCATGATCACAATACTACCATGGTTATGTCAGAAATACTTCTCACCAGTATGTTACGGCTGTTATCCCTGCGACTTCATGGACAGTCAGTCATGTGGCTCCCACCAAACGTTATTCAAGTTTCAGATATTTTGGTGAACATGCCAAGGAGATTGCTTGAGGATGAGGAGTTTAAGAAGCACATTATTTGTGGACTTTTGTGGCCAGCATTGCCCGTGGTGTAATGTAATCAGTGTCTCAAAGCTGCTGAGCTAATGTTATTGTTGTACAGCTGTCTCCAAAGAACTATTGGATAGATTATGAAGTCACTTGGTATCTCTAGTAACCAATTAAATGTACTATATTTGACAAACAGGTATTATGATTGTTTTCAATAATAGATTATAGAGTGTAAAGTGTTGTTGAAGTTTTGCCAACATTTTTATTCCTGAAGAGCACAAGCAATGAAATATTTATTCTTATGCTAGAAGATGAGATGCTTATTCAGAAACTTTCCTGTGTTTAGAGTGGGACTTGGCTCGGAGAGGTAGGCAATCCCAGTGGATTCCATTCAAGTACTCCTAAATACAGGGGTTTGTGGAGAGTCTGCTCACACACATCAACCACTACATTATGTGAATTGACAGTAGGAAGGTGCAGTGGCTAATGATCATTATGTTCCCTTGTAGGCATACGGCATGTGTTGATCCCTATTGATGCAGTCTCATTGTAGGCATACAGCACGTGTTGATCCCTATTAATGCAGTCTCATTGTAGGCATACAGCACGTGTTGATCCCTATTGATGCAGTCTCATTGTAGGCATACAGCACGTGTTGATCCCTATTGATGCAGTCTCATTGTGGGCATACAGCACGTGTTGATCCCTATTGATGCAGTCTCATTGTGGGCATACAGCACGTGTTGATCCCTATTGATGCAGTCATCGTAGGCATACACGCGTGTTGATCCCTATTGATGCAGTCTCATTGTGGGCATACAGCACGTGTTGATCCCTATTGATGCAGTCTCATTGTGGGCATACAGCACGTGTTGATCCCTATTGATGCAGTCTCATTGTGCAGGCATACAGCACGTGTTGATCCCTATTGATGCAGTCTCATTGTGGGCATACAGCACGTGTTGATCCCTATTGATGCAGTCTCATTGTGGGCATACAGCACGTGTTGATCCCTATTGATGCAGTCTCATTGTGGGCATACAGCACGTGTTGATCCCTATTGATGCAGTCTCATTGTGGGCATACAGCACGTGTTGATCCCTATTGATGCAGTCTCATTGTAGGCATACAGCACGTGTTGATCCCTATTAATGCAGTCTCATTGTAGGCATACAGCACGTGTTGATCCCTATTGATGCAGTCTCATTGTAGGCATACATCACGTGTTGATCCCTATTGATGCAGTCTCATTGTGGGCATACAGCACGTGTTGATCCCTATTGATGCAGTCTCATCGTAGGCGTATAACCAAATGTTGAGTACTTTTGAATGACACCTTTCCAACTTATCACATAATGTTCACTGATGACTTTCTTGGATTGTTACCATGGTTACAGTTTGCAACTGTTTTACACAGTTGTATGATCCCTGTTGTTTGATTCCCAGTTGTCCAACTCTCTGAGCAATAACTGTTACTGTTCCTCCCATACATTTACAAAATTATCAGTGGTACAAAAGTGTTCATTGTTAACATTGTACATCTCCTTACGTTCAGTCACCCACAGGTTGAAGCACCTTGAGCTGGTCACCCGTGGTGAATCAGAGCTGTGTCAACACTTGTAGATCATTTACCTTTTCCACAAGCACATCAGTCATTTATGGCAAATTTATTGTTTGGCACAAATATTTTACAGGTGAGAGATGTTGATGAAAGTCGATGGGTTGTTGAAGCACAAATGAAAATATGAATGTGTTAAAGATAATGAATCAGTCATTTGTTTGCAGGCACCTATGACTCATGGCTAAGACACATCAACAGTACTCAGATAAAAACATAATGATTAATTTTCTGTCAAGTAACATTCTTTCAAGTTGATAGGAGTCCCTGACCATAGTTAGGAAGGGGGCGTGGCCCAGTGGTGAGGTACAGCTGTGTGGAGTGACATCCCTTAGCTGCCAGGATCTGATAACATTAGATCCAAGTATCACCTTGCTTTTGATCAAGGGACAGAATTCTTCCCATATGAAGCGAAGCTGTTGCGCAAAGTAGTCCCTGTGTTGAAGGCTGGTTTAAAAGTAGGTAATTTCACAGATTGTCAAATTGTCAGGCCAGTCGTTCATTTCATGTGACCTAATGTCTTGTTTTCTGTATGACATTGAGGTCGACAGGAGGGACTGTGTAAGTTGTTACATATATCTTGTTGACTAGTTGTCACTACCAGCCACGGAAAGGCCAGGGGCAGGCAGAGGAATAAAAATGTTATGTATATAGCAGGTGTTCTGTTTTGTATGAAGGATGAAGCAAGTCTGGACCAGACAGTCAAGTGACAGACAGTGTGAGCACAGCTCTTTTGATCCATTTTGTCACCTCTTACCACAATTGTTCTATCCTGGCATTCAAGACTTATTTTCAAATAAATGGACGTATTAACAGCACAACAATAAAATCAACAAAAAATTGACATAAAATTAGTATGGTTAAACTTTATTATCACCAAACACATGACTTGAGTAACATAGTGTATATATAATATATATATTTTGACACGGAGTAGTGTTCTATTGCTGCACCAGCTGCCACTGATGTGTAAGGGGAGGTAACCTCCATAATACTGATAACCATGCGGACCTGAGTCACCTGCTACAGGAATAACATCTGCAGGTAATGTGGGCATGGGCGTAGAGAGTGGTTAAAGGAGTTGCCCTTCTTCCTGAAGGCTCGTGTTCCATTCCCATGAGTGAAGCCAATTCCTAGTCACCTGTCTTGATATTGCTGCAATATTGCTAAAAGCAGCATAAAACCCAACTAACTTAAGGTGGTACAGGCCCGATCAAGGCTTAGTTTTACCCTTGTAATATTCCTGCAGTATGACCTAGTGAAACTGAATCTCAAATGATGTTTCCCTGTTGTATGCTATTCAAATGAAGATAAGAACCACTTAATTCTCTCTGACGAATAAACTATTGTAACTTGAAAGAGTTGGGTGATCCCTTACTTCTTTTGAGTAGTATATTCCAAGTCCCCTGTTTGTTGGTCATGGAATGTCCAGTTTGTTCTGGTGACCTGCATCTACCACCAGGTCAGTATGAAAGTTAGTGTCTTACAACATAGACAAGAACATATAACAAATTGTGTGATGGATATATTGCTGTATGATCCCTATATCAAATACATGAAACCAAAGTGAAGAATATTCCACACATCTTGTACCTTTTGCAAGACACTCAAATCTCACATGTACATGTATATTCAAAGATTTCATGAAAAACAATTGGAAGTGTCAAATATATTACAATAAAAGAATGATAAATATTGTTTTCTTTGACACAACGAAGGTATGTATGTTGGATATATTCATCCACATGAACCAGGTGATGGCTGTATGTTGAAAGAGGGAACTGGCAACATCAGCAGTAACCTTGAACTAACATCTTGAAAACATGTCTCATCCATACAGTTGCAATAGTAACAGAATGACAATAATTTCCTGTATACTTCTGTATGCACCTGAGTATCACATGGATGATGCTTTCAAGACAGTGCAGGGCCCCGTTTCACAAAGCTCTCGTAAACCTTAGATCTCGTAACTTTTCTCGTAGCACAATCTTACGATTTTATGGGTGTTTCACGAAACTCTCGTAGGCTTACGATATATTAATTTTACAATAAAAATTACGGTAAGTATTTGCTCTCGTAAATGAGCTTTATTCTCGTAAGTCAAAAACAAAATGGCATATTATATGTTGTTAAAAGAGAAACTCAGCAAGAAAAGTATTCAAAATAAGCGTGTTTTTCGGGATCGAACATTGCTACTGGACATCGTAAGTGACGACGAACTGTTCATGAACTATCGAATGGACAGGGCCACTTGTTGAGCATGTGAAGGTATTTCATATAACAAGATAAATTCTCAAATGTACGTAATATACCGACACCATCGCCATTTTGTATCTAAGGACACAGTAACCTGTCACACCCACTAATTTCGTTATAGCGAGGTTGTCATTATCTTTTATGATGTTATGTTTGTCAAAGTATTACATCATTTGCTTTTAGGACACTTGTTACACATAAACATTAAGGAGTGTGTTTATTCGTTGAGTTTTTTTTAGCACTGCGTTTAAATTTAATTAAGCTGAAATCAGAAGAATCCTACGAACGAAAGATCGACTCGATCATCACTTACTTTTCAGCAATCTCATTCCAGAGACGCTTTTTGCCAGCAGCTGTGATGACTGCTGAAAGTCTACCAAATAGATAGCTGCTGTTGTGGGCCACTTCGGATGTTAAAATGTTCAATTCAAAGGACAAGAAATTCGTTTTTCTAACCCTTCCCTTTGACTTCAAGTCCCCCATTGTACGGCGGGTTGTCGTCTGTTTACACAAATGGACATAACTCGCAATCCATGTTCTTTTCAAGTCTTCTCAGCAAAAGAGTTCGCAATACAATTGCTAAAAGTTACCGTAAGTTTTCTCGTAACAACGAGAGTACTAAGATACTTTCGTGAAACGCCCTTAGCGTGGTATCGTAAGATATAACGTAGGTGTGACGAGATCTTAGATTTACGAGAGCTTTGTAAAACGGGGCCCTGGACATTAGGGGGTACTGGAGATTTGCTGTCATGACATACATTTACCCATTTCCCTCCCTGCAGATGAAACATTACCACAAGAACAAGTGTCATATGTTCAGACACTGCAGCTGTAGCTACAGAGGATATGTGTGACTGTAGAACAACTTGATGATATCTGTATGTGTGTGACTCCCCTCCAGCATCAGTAACACCATCACCCACATAGACATATCCGTGTGGATGCCGCTGCTACTGATGCTGCATGTAGCATCATCTTACACCAGTGGTCATCTATTAGATCTCAGGTTAGTGGTTTACAACACCAATATATTCTGTTACCATGGGACACTTATTTTTTCTCGACACATAACACAATTACTCACCAGGTAGTATTTCTCACAATCACACACACACCATATATGAGCAGCATATTGAGCACAAACTGTAAATAATATAATATTTCTGAGGCAAAAATAAGAGTTTCTTATAGAGGCATATACAACATAATGGAACAGTACATTGGACAAGCTTTTGACAAGGGACAGTGGATAACTTTATACTGGTTTGATATGTATATTATATATAAGTAAATAAGTAGAAGATCTCTTTGGTACGGTGTGTACATCCAACATGTAAAATGGCTACTGGAACATAGCAGACAGTACACAGCCCAGCAGTACAAGGAGTGATGGGAGGCCCCAGTAGGGAATACACGTAGCTGCACTGGGTATTCCTTGTGTACTTGTAGGGAGGAGAGGGGTGCTGCCTCTCTGTGTGTTGACTGGTCTCCCAGTAGGTGAAAGTGAAATCACAACTGGATCCAATGTGGTGTTTGATCCAATGTTTTGGTTGTAGTAACATATGTAGTAATATAGTGGACTGGAAATTCCAAGGGACATAATGCTGTGATGGAGACTCCTTGCAGACCACTAACTGACAGACACTAGGGAATGAGTTTTGATAAATAAACACTTTGACAACTTAAGTGGATATAATGAGTCCAAGCACCAGATATGACAGTGTTATCATAACTCACAGGAACAGTCCTCCATGAAATCAGACCTTGACAATGATGGTACTGTAAAATCGTTTCATGCATACTCTTGCATGACGGGACGTGTGCCATGTATTGCGAGGGTCTGCTCAAGATTACAACCTCTATATGTCATCAATATCATCGTCATCATCTAGGTCTTGAATGTCATCGAGGTCATCATCCTCCAAGTCCCCACTATCTATTGAAGCTTCATCGACATCTACATCATCGTCGCTGTCACTCAGCTCTGGGTCAGAGCTAACCTTCGTCTTGAGGACTGCAAACACAGCATATAAGAAGGAGGTAGAAGGTAGCAAAAACAATCAAACAATAATGTGTATCTATTCCTGCAACAGTTGCTTTACCCTTGTAAAACTTTACATGGAAAATCAAAACAAAATGATGATAGCTTGTTAACAACTTTTGTATTTTGGAGACAAATGTTAAAAAACTTGGTCTGATGTTTTCATTACATTCTACGATGAAATGAATGTTTAATCATGAACCGATTTGGAGTTAGATTGTGATTCATCGGTATCATTTTGACCCAAACAGACTGTAGCTGTGGTGTAATGGTTGTTAGGAGACATGTGTTTGTGACTCACCTGTCCTAGCTGTGGTGTAATTGTTGTTAGGAGACATGTGATTGTGACTCACCTGTCCTAGCTGTGGTGTAATTGTTGTTAGGAGACATGTTTGTGACTCACCTGTCCTAGCTGTGGTGTAATTGTTGTTAGGAGACGTGTGATTGTGACTCACCTGTCCTAGCTGTGGTGTAATTGTTGTTAGGAGACATGTGATTGTGACTCACCTGTCCTAGCTGTGGTGTAATTGTTGTTAGGAGACATGTTTGTGACTCACCTGTCCTAGCTGTGGTGTAATTGTTGTTAGGAGACATGTGATTGTGACTCACCTGTCCTAGCTGTGGTGTAATTGTTGTTAGGAGACATGTGATTGTGACTCACCTGTCCTAGCTGTGGTGTAATTGTTGTTAGGAGACATGTGATTGTGACTCACCTGTCCTAGCTGTGGTGTAATTGTTGTTAGGAGACATGTGATTGTGACTCACCTGTCCTAGCTGTGGTGTAATTGTTGTTAGGAGACATGTGATTGTGACTCACCTGTCCTAGCTGTGGTGTAATTGTTGTTAGGAGAGACGTGATTGTGACTCACCTGTCCTAGCTGTGGTGTAATTGTTGTTAGGAGACATGTGATTGTGACTCACCTGTCCTAGCTGTGGTGTAATTGTTGTTAGGAGACATGTTTGTGACTCACCTGTCCTAGCTGTGGTGTAATTGTTGTTAGGAGACGTGATTGTGACTCACCTGTCCTAGCTGTGGTGTAATTGTTGTTAGGAGACATGTGATTGTGACTCACCTGTCCTAGCTGTGGTGTAATTGTTGTTAGGAGACATGTGATTGTGACTCACCTGTCCTAGCTGTGGTGTAATTGTTGTTAGGTGACATGTGTTTGTGACTCACCTGTCCTAGCTGTGGTGTAATTGTTGTTAGGAGACATGTGATTGTGACTCACCTGTCCTAGCTGTGGTGTAATTGTTGTTAGGAGACATGTGTTTGTGACTCACCTGTCCTAGCTGTGGTGTAATTGTTGTTAGGAGACATGTGTTTGTGACTCACCTGTCCTAGCTGTGGTGTAATTGTTGTTAGGAGACAAGTGTTTGCGACTCACCTGTCCTAGCTGTGGTGTAATTGTTGCTAGGAGACATGTGTTTGCGACTCACCTTTCCTAGCTGTGGTGTAATTGTTGCTAGGAGACATGTGTTTGTGACTCACCTTTCCTAGCTGTGGTGTAATTGTTGCTAGGAGACATGTGTTTGTGACTCACCTGTCCTAGCTGTGGTGTAATTGTTGTTAGGAGACAAGTGTTTGCGACTCACCTGTCCTAGCTGTGGTGTAATTGTTGTTAGGAGACAAGTGTTTGCGACTCACCTTTCCTAGCTGTGGTGTAATTGTTGTTAGGAGACATGTGTTTGTGACTCACCTGTCCTAGCTGTGGTGTAATTGTTGTTAGGAGACATGTGTTTGTGACTCACCTTTCCTAGCTGTGGTGTAATTGTTGTTAGGAGACATGTGTTTGTGACTCACCTGTCCTAGCTGTGGTGTAATTGTTGTTAGGAGACATGTGTTTGTGACTCACCTGTCCTAGCTGTGGTGTAATTGTTGTTAGGAGACATGTGATTGTGACTCACCTGTCCTAGCTGTGGTGTATTTGTTCTTGGAGGACAAGGGTTCTGTGTCTGAGTCTTCAAGGTCAGAGAGGTCATCAATGTCAAGGTCATCATCGCTATCTGAGTCAATGTCTACATCTTTGTCATTGGATCTCCGGTACGACTTCGTTGTTCTGGACGTGTAGCCTGACATACACATATTGGGAACAATGATGAATATGATGCATTGTCTTTAAAGTATATTTAATAATCACTCATTTACAGAAAATGAATACCCCATTTCCACCCTCTTGTACTGCACATGTACAAATGTCACAGTTCTCTCTGTATATGTCCAAATAACACAGCATTATCATAGTACTGATACACCTCCTCTGTGACACATAGTACTGATACACTTGTCTCTGTGACACATAGTACTGATACACCTGTCTGTGTGACAAATAGTACTGATACACTTGTCTCTGTGACACATAGTACTGATACACCTGTCTGTGTGACAAATAGTACTGATACACTTGTCTCTGTGACACATAGTACTGATACACCTGTCTCTGTGACACATAGTACTGATACACCTGTCTCTGTGACACATAGTACTGATACACCTGTCTCTGAGACACATAGTACTGATACACTTGTCTCTGTGACACATAGTACTGATACACCCATCTCTGTGACACATAGTACTGATACACCTGTCTCTGTGACACATAGTACTGATACACCCATCTCTGTGACACATAGTACTGATACACCTGTCTCTGAGACACATAGTACTGATACACCTGTCTCTGTGACACATAGTACTGATACGCCTGTCTCTGTGACACATAGTACTGATACACCTGTCTCTGTGACACATTGTACTGTCTCTGTGACACATAGTACTGATACACCTGTCTCTGTGACACATAGTACTGATACACCCGTCTCTGTGACACATAGTACTGATACACCTGTCTCTGTGACACATAGTACTGTCTCTGTGACATTTCTTCTCCAGATTAACATCATTAATGGAATGATACAGCTCTGTTCTAGTTTGGTACACAATACATTTACAGCCTTATTTGGGTAAACAACATGAATAATATATACAAATAACATGCATTCTGGGGCCTATCATCAAGGTAAGTCCTCAAGGTAAGCCCATATTTTAACACTGGGGTTGAAAGAAACACACCCTTCCTTGTGTATGTGTCTGGAACTTGCTGACTCACCTTTAGTGTTGCTGCTGTGTGGAGATGTTGTCGTTACCTTGAGACGGGCATCCACAGTATTTAGTTTGTCTTTCAGTGTCCCACCGAGTGCTCCTGTGGGAGAAATGTACCCGGTGTCAGATTGCTGGGGTAGATTGAGAGTGTGAGACATTGATGGGGTAGATTGAGAGTGTGAGACATTGATGGGGTAGATTGAGAGTGTGAGACATTGATGGGGTAGATTGAGAGCTTGAGATATTGGTGGGGTAGATTGAGAGCTTGAGATATTGATGGGGTAGATTGAGAGCTTGAGATATTGGTGGGGTAGATTGAGAGCGCTTGAGATATTGGTGGGGTAGATTGAGAGCGTGAGACATTGACGGGGTAGATTGAGAGGTTGGTGGGGTGGATTGAGAGCTTGAAATATTGGTGGGGTAGATTGGGAGCTTGAGATATTTGTGGGGTAGATTGAGAGCTTGAGATATTGATGGGGTAGAGTGAGAGCTTGAGATATTGGTGGGGTAGATTGAGAGCGTGAAACATTGACGGGGCAGATTGAGAGGTTGGTGGGGTAGATTTAGAGCTTGAGATATTGGTGGGGTAGATTGAGAGCTTGAGATATTGGTGGGAGTAGATTGAGAGCTTGAGATAGTGGTGGGAGTAGATTGAGAGCTTGAGATATTGGTGGGGTAGATTGAGAGCTTGAGATATTGGTGGGGTAGATTGAGAGCTTGAGATATTGATGGGAGTAGATTGAGAGCTTGAGATATTGGTGGGGTAGATTGAGAGCTTGAGATATTGGTGGGAGTAGATTGAGAGCTGAGACATTGACGGGTAGATTGAGAGGTTGGTGGGGTGGATTGAGAGCTTGAAATATTGGTGGGGTAGATTGAGAGCTTGAGACATTGATGGGGTAGGATTGAGAGCTTGAGATATTGGTGGGCAGATTGAGAAGATATTGGTGGGGTAGATTGAGAGCCGAGACATTGACAGGGTAGATTGAGAGGTTGGTGGGGTGGATTGAGAGCTTGAAATATTGGTGGGGTAGATTGGGAGCTTGAGATATTTGTGGGGGTAGATTGAGAGCTTGAGATATTGATGGGGTAGAGTGAGAGCTTGAGATATTGGTGGGAGTAGATTGAGAGCGTGAAACATTGACGGGCAGATTGAGAGGTTGGTGGGGTAGATTTAGAGCTTGAGATATTGGTGGGGTAGATTGAGAGCTTGAGATATTGGTGGGGTAGATTGAGAGCTTGAGATAGTGGTGGGGTAGATTGAGAGCTTGAGATATTGGTGGGGTAGATTGAGAGCTTGAGATATTGATGGGGTAGATTGAGAGCTTGAGATATTGGTGGGGTAGATTGAGAGCTTGAGATATTGGTGGGGTAGATTGAGAGCGTGAGACATTGACGGGTAGATTGAGAGGTTGGTGGGGTGGATTGAGAGCTTGAAATATTGGTGGGGTAGATTGGGAGCTTGAGATATTTGTGGGGTAGATTGAGAGCTTGAGATATTGATGGGGTAGAGTGAGAGCTTGAGATATTGGTGGGGTAGATTGAGAGCGTGAAACATTGACGGGGCAGATTGAGAGGTTGGTGGGGTAGATTTAGAGCTTGAGATATTGGTGGGGTAGATTGAGAGCTTGAGATATTGGTGGGGTAGATTGAGAGCTTGAGATAGTGGTGGGGTAGATTGAGAGCTTGAGATATTGGTGGGGTAGATTGAGAGCTTGAGATATTGGTGGGGTAGATTGAGGTCTTGAGATAGTGGTGGGGTAGATTGAGAGCTTGAGATATTGGTGGGGTAGATTGAGAGCTTGAGATAGTGGTGGGGTAGATTGAGAGCTTGAGATATTGGTGGGGTAGATTGAGGTCTTGAGATATTGGTGGGGTAGATTGAGAGCTTGAGATAGTGGTGGGGTAGATTGGGAGATTGAAAGATTGGTAGGTAGACGTGTGATTGAGGTCAGCAAACATAGAGTGTGTTAACATCTATGATTTAATGCCTCACTCAGCAATATTCCAAATATATGCCAGCGGTCTGTAATTAATCGAGTCCCGACCAGACTGGGATGCAACTGGGATACAATGAAATGCATCAAACAAATCAGCGAACTTGACCATCCAATCCCCTTAGTCATCTCTTATAACAAACATGGATTGCTAAAGACCAATTTTAACACCGATCTTTATGGGTACACATCTGTGATGCATTCAGACACCTACAAGACCAAATAGCTGTTGTTTAAATCATGTTTCTAGACGAATATATGAGTGAGTGAGTAAGTTTGCCACAACTTTTTTTAATATTCCATTTTAGATCAGCTTAAAGTGAGAGCAAGCATCTTCCAAACTGGTAAACCCACATCCACAAGTATCATGCCACAACTATTGGCATAACAGAGGGGCAGTGTGCGAAATAGTTTCCAAACTTTGCTTGCCAGTCAGGCTAGCTATGCCGGAAAGTTTCTAGCCAACAAAATAATTCACTAGTCCGAAATTTGAATGTAAACACAGGTTTCATCATTAGGCTGCTAATATGATGAACATCTTTATTGAGCAATAATCTTGCATGATTTACAAGTGTATTATAACTTGACAAGTCGGAGAGAGTGATATATTTACAAAATGACCCCATGAAAATTCACTAGCCCGACTTCATTTTTACTAGCCATGGGCTAGCAAGTCAGTGGCTATTTCGCACACTGCAGAGGGGCCCTTTTATTGGGGACCCTGTCAACTTAGGGAAACAACTATAGTGAGGACTCTATGGCACATCAGTCTGCTGGACTACCAGTGTCGCTCACAGAATCTGGAGGATCTACAGGTGAGAAGTGAGTCCATGATGTTGGATGCTGCAGTCACATACATCAGTGTGTCCTGTGGTCCCTGGCTAGTAATAAACTTTGCAGTGGTCCTGGTGGCCAGTGAATTTTGTATTGATAGTAAAGTAGTTCTACGAATGTTATTTTTGACCAGTGAAGTACAGACAGGGCCACTAATTATTGTCCACTCACTGGTTCTGTGGTCTAGTGGAAATTTTTGATAGATTTCTTTCCCTGTATATTAGTTGTGCTGGCATTTTGAGCAGCTCTCCTGCCCACAGATTGGGATGACACCCAGGAGCCAGGTGACTCTGTGTAGTGACACAGTTGGCTCTGACAACAGCCATGAGCTAGTTCATCTTTACATGACATCCAGTCCCAGGCTTCACATAACAGGCGGATGCAGCAGGGTGTATACTGACTGAGTGAAACAGACAACAGCCATGAACTAGTTCATCTTTACATGACATCCAGTCCCAGGCTTCACATTACATCACATCTTACCTGGGTCTGTGGCAAAGCTATTAAACTATCCCCCTAATCAGTTAACATTAAATACCTGAGATGCTCCAGCTGCGTGTGTCCAAGAGTCCGGTCAGCATCAGGACACGTCTTCAAGATTTCAGCCAGATTTCTTGTCCGACCATTAGAGATCTCATGCAAGGACTGTTGGAAAGGATACACGTCTACATGAACAGTGATTTATTCATTCAGCATGTATTACAGGTAAGTAGCATGTCGATGAAGGAAGAGAAACAGGAATCAAAGTTGTCACTAAAATGGCTGCCACTGCATCCTAAATTTCACTTTGTCCACTATCCAAAATTCAGGGGCTGCCCAATGACTGCCTTGAAAGATGCATCTTGTGAAATTCATTACTTCACATTAGTAGACATAGGTATGTTCTCGGATGCCTGTCGCAGTGGAACTGGTTAAATAGTGTCCATCATCTTCGTCAATGAACATTTCGATAGCTACTTGCAGGGCTGTGAGGATTCCTTTAGGCTAAATAATTGTTCGATGTGCAGTGTACCATATTTCTGACATGTATAGGCTGTTCCATCTGACTTGACAACATCATGCCAAATACTTTTCAATCTTCACACAGACAAAAGCGAGTGAAAATGATAATGACACTGAGTGAGTGAGTGAGTTTAGTTTTACGCCGCACTCAGCAATATTCCAGCTATATGGCGGAGGTCTGTAATAATCGAGTCTGGACCAGACAACCCAGTGATCAACAGCATGAGCGTCAATCTATGCAATTGGAATTATGATAACGTGTGTCAACCAAGTCAGTGAGTCTGACCACCCGATCCCGTTAGTCGCCTCTTACGACAAGCATGGGTTGCTGAAGATCAATTCTAACCCGAATCTTCATGGGTAGATAATGATGGTAACTTTGCAGACAGATACAAACCAGGGTGGAGGAAAACGTTCATATCGGTAATATTTGAAATTAATCCAAACTGGTGGTAAACTCAAAATGGGTTACAATGTCTGTGTGGGTACTATAATATATGATTCCAAAAAAGTAATGCTATGACTTGTACATGTCAAAATAGAAATTTGATTAAAATACTGTGAATAAAAATCTATCTCTGACCTTGTTCATCCTCTCCTGTGACCTTTCCAGATCTCTCCTGTCATAGTGAGACCCCATCACATCCATTTCTACAGACCCTGCACATACAGAAAATAATTAATTACAAATTCATTTCTTCATTCAGGTTCTGATTGAGTAACTTGATTTGACTTTCACAGTCAGCTGCTGTATGGTTGTATTTCACTGACAACACTAATCAAAACATTCACTGACATACTGAGTAAAATAAGAGTAACAAGTGTTTGCCACTGATATGGCAATGTCCCCCGCCGCTAAAGAATATCTATATTTACTACTTTATATTTTTTGGTCACATACAAGATGCCTGAAATGACTGGTGTCTGCATAATCACCCAATGTAGGCTGTTGACATAATTGAAAACATTGGGTGCAATGTTTTATGAGATATCGCCTTTAAAAAGCGGTCAAAGTGTCATGGTGACCTTGAAGATAAGGTCAAGATCACCAAAATATACTGGTGTCTGTGTAATACCCCGATGTAAACTGTCACTAAATTTGAAGACATTGGGTACAACAGTCCATGAGATGCCGTGTTAAGAAGAGTTTGAAAAGTGTTCAAAGTGCCGTGGTGACCTTGAAAATAAGGTCAAGGTCACCTACATAAACTGGTGTCTGTGAAATCCCCCAATGTAGGCTGTCACCAAATTTGAAGACATTGGGTACAACAGTCCATGAAATATCGCGTTAACAAGAGTTAAAAGTGTGCAACGTGTCATGGTGACCTTGAAGATAAGGTCAAAGTCACCAAAATAAACTGGTGTCTGCGTAATCCCCCAATGTAGGCTGTCACCAAATTTGAAGACACTGGGTACAACATTGCATGAGATATCAAGGCCACGGTTAACAACAGTTTGAAAAGTGGTCAACATTGCATGAGATATCAAAGTGTCGTGGTGACCTTGAAAATAAGGTCAAGGTCACCCAAATCGACTGGTGTCCGCGTAATCACCCAATGTAGGCTGTCACCAACTTTGAAGACATTGGGTACAACATTTCATGAGATATCGCGTAAACAAGAGTTTGAAAAGTGGTCAAAGTGTCAAGGTCACCAAAATAAACTGGTGTCTGCGTAATCCCCCAATGTAGGCTGTCACGAAATTTGAAGACACTGGGTACAACAGTGCATGAGATATCACGTTAACAACATTTTGAAAAGTGGTCGAAGTGTCGTGGTAACCTTGAAAATAAGGTCAAGGTCACCCAAATCGACTGGTGTCTGCAAAATCTCCCAATGTAGGCTGTCACCAAATTTGAAGACATTGGGTACAACAGTTCATGAGATATTGGGTTAACAAGAATCGGGACGTACGTACGGACACATAAATAGTTACAACCCATCTACTCTTCTCCTGACTATGTTGACATGTGAATAGTTACAACTCACCTATTCTTCTCCTGACCATGCCCATATGTGAATAGTTACAACCCACCTACCATTCTCCTGACTATGTTGACATGTGAATAGTTACAACCTACCTACTCTTCTCCTGACTATGTTGACAAGTGAATAGTTACAACCTACCTACTCTTCTCCAACCCACCTACTCTTCTCCTGACTATGTTGACAAGTGAATAGTTACAACCTACCTACTCTTCTCCTGACTATTTTGACAAGTGAATAGTTCCAACCCACCTTCTCTTCTCCTGACCATGCCCATATGTGACTAGTTACAACCTACCTACTCTTCTCCTGACCATGCCCATATGTGACTAGTTACAACCTACCTACTCTTCTCCAACCCACCTACTCTTCTCCAACCCACCTACTCTTCTCCAACCCACCTACTCTTGTCCTGACTATGTTGACACATGAATAGTTACAACCTACCTACTCTTCTCCTGAGGGCATCAACGTCTTTCCTGATGTAACGCAGCTCATCATGAATGTCTTGCCGACTGGACAAAAACTCTCATTAGTGATTGAGAATAGAAATGTAATATCTCCTTAGTTGCCTTCATGGAAATAACAAATCATTTAATATCAGATCAATAATAATATTATACTTTACAACTTGGACACATCTAGGAACAGCAGATGTTATTCATCTTTCATTGATTATGATTCATGATAATTGAAACTGATTATCAATTGTCAATAACAATCAATTAACTGGAACAAAAGAATTGGAACTAGTTTCAGAAGGTTAATGATACCCTTTGACCAGATAAATTCAGTTAATAAATTTCCCTCACACTTCATCTATATTTCGAGATGCTGAGATGGAGGACTGATCAGATGTAGAGTGACTGTCTATTCGAGTCCTGAAAAGCTGCAGCTGGTCTCGAACATCCTTGACTTCCCGCTCCAGGTCTCGTTTGATTTGGTCCATCTGCCATTCAAGGTGAGGGTTGCGACCGCCCCTCTCCAACACATGACTGCTCAGTTCACTCACCTCACCTGTAACACAACCTTTGTTACACAACACACCTACAACACACATTAATTACACAACACACTTATAACACACAACACACAAAACATCTGTAACACACATGACATCTGTAACACACTACATCTGTAACACACAACACATTTGTAACACACCACATCTGTAACACACACATTTGTAACACACCACATCTGTAACACACACAACATATTTGTAACACACCACATCTGTAACACACAACACATTTGTAACACACCACATCTGTAACACACACATTTGTAACACACCACATCTGTAACATACAACACACCTGTAACACACAACACATCTGTAACACACAACACATTTGTAACACACAACACATTTGTAACACACATCTGTAACACACAACACATTTGTAACACACCACATCTGTAACACACAACACACATGTAACACACAACACATCTGTAACACACAACACACCTGTAACACACAACACATCTGTAACACACAACACATTTGTAACACACAACACATTTGTAACACACCACATCTGTAACACACAACACATTTGTAACACACCACATCTGTAACACACAACACATCTGTAACACACAACACATCTGTAACACACCACATCTGTAACACACAACACATTTGTAACACACCACATCTGGAACACAACACATTTGTAACACACCACATCTGTAACACACACATTTGTAACACACCACATCTGTAACATACAACACACCTGTAACACACAACACATCTGTAACACACAACACATTTGTAACACACAACACATTTGTAACACACATCTGTAACACACAACACATTTGTAACACACCACATCTGTAACACACAACACACCTGTCACACACACCACATCTGTAACACACAACACACCTGTAACACACAACACATCTGTAACACACAACACATTTGTAACACACAACACATTTGTAACACACCACATCTGTAACACACAACACATTTGTAACACACCACATCTGTAACACACAACACATCTGTAACACACAACACATCTGTAACACACCACATCTGTAACACACAACACATTTGTAACACACCACATCTGTAACACAACACATTTGTAACACACCACATCTGTAACACACAACACATCTGTAACACACAACACATCTGTAACACACAACACATTTGTAACACACCACATCTGTAACACACAACACATGTGTAACACACCAAATCTGTAACACACAACACATTTGTAACACACCACATCTGTAACACACAAAACATCTGTAACACACAACACCGGTAACACACCACATCTGTAACACACAAAACATCTGTAACACACAACACCGGTAACACAACACATCTCTAACACATCACATCTGTAACATGCACCACACCTATAACACAACACACCTGTAACACACAAAACATCTGTAACACACAAAACATCTGTAACACACAACACTGGTAACACAACACATCTCTAACACATCACATCTGTAACATGCACCACACCTATAACACACAACACACCTGTAACGCTACACATCTATGGGGTGTGGTGGGTGAGCTGTCTAAGGCGCCAGGCTAGTGATCCAGCAAGTTTGGTGGTGCCGGGATCGAGCCAACCTGTGACCGGGTGTAAAAACCTTGGAGTCAACTTTGTGTGCAGACTCTTTCAGTGTTGTCAGTGCAATGTCGCAGCCCCTAGTGTACAGTACACAACCCTGTGCGCCTAAAAGAATCCACAAATCCGTTGGTAAATGACCAAACGGTGGCCACATGAATACGTGCAAACACTTAGTTGCGGGTACAGCTTGGACAAAGTACTGTGACTATGTGTCCCAGTCCACCCAACTGTGAATGGGTACCTCGAAAGGATGGGAAAGTCACACTCACTCGGTGCGCCTAGTGGCAGCAAGAGTTGTATGGTCCCCAGGGAGTTGAGATTGATAATATGATGTGCCACTAAGATTGACATCCAATGATCGAGGGAAAGCAAAGAAGCTCTTTGAGCATGCATGTGGGATGGACTATAGTGCTGTATAATACCCATATACATATATATATATATCTATAACAAACAACACATCTGTAACACACAACACACCTGTAACACACACCTCACCTGTATCACACAACACATCTGTGACACACATCACACCTGTAACACACAACACACCTGTAACACACACCTCACCTGTAACACACGTCACATCTGTAACACACACCTCACCTGTAACACACATCACACCTGTAACACACAACACACCCGTAACACACACCTCACCTGTAACACACAACACACCTGTAACACAAAACACACCTGTAACACACACCTCACCTGTAACACACACCTCACCTGTAACACACATCACATCTGTAACACACATTACACCTGTAACACACACCTCACCTGTAACACACATCACACCTGTAACACACAACACACCTGTAACACACACCTCACCTGTAACACACATCACACCTGTAACATATATAGAGAATACTACACGAGGTCTCATTACATACGAATTATACGAAACTTGGACCTTCCTATGGTTTCTGACCTCACTTTCGCTCGGTCAGATAAAATGTGTATGACCTTACGCTTTCGCTCGGTCAGATACCATAGTAAGGTCCAAGTTTCATATAATTTGTATGTAATGCGACAGAGTGTGGTATTTTATTTATTATCCACGTCTTACATGCATTAAATTAACAAGTTAGTGTATTTTAGTTATTGTTATGGTTTCAAACTGAAACCGGTTTCATAAAGAGGTTGCGGAAGAATTTTGTTCTGTAGTCACTTTTGCATGACGTCACGATGTATTGACGTCACTACGCCATTCTCATCTGTCCCCTTAGTAACCGATGTCACGATGCATGTCAGTTGTCATCGCCTCGTACAGTAAACTACTCCGTAGCACCCCTTTTCTTGGTTTGCAATGCTTCACTCGGCTAACATCACTGGAGGAAACATTGCGTTTATGTTTTTCGATGGATATAATGTCTCAGTTCGACACACAATTAAACAGCGATACGGCAACATTCGCGAGTTGTAGAATGGATGAATTCACGTGTTCGTTATGAATGGACAAGTAGTTCCGTCACGACGTGATACAACACTCGTGTGACGTATGAGATCAGTATGCAACTACCCATACGTTGACCACGTGGTTAATAAATCACCTGTATCACACAACACATCTGTAAGACATAACACACCTGTAACATAACACACCTGTATCACACAACACACCTGTATCACACAACACACCTGTAACATATATAGAGAATACTACACGAGGTCTCATTACATACAAATTATACACACATATAATACCCAACAGATCTGTAACACACAACACCTGTAACACACAACACATCTGTAACAACAACACAAATGACATACTGACATTCTGACCCCGTCTACCATGTTCTTAAATAGTTTCACTAATGACTCTCTGTCTATCATGTTCTTGAACAGTCTCACTAATGACAGTGACTCTGTCTATCATGTTTTTGAATAGTTTCACTAATGACACTCTGTCTATCATGTTCTTGAACAGTCTCACTAATGACAGTGACTCTGTCTATCATGTTCTTGAATAGTTTCACTAATGACACTCTGTCTATCATGTTCTTGAACAGTCTCACTAATGACAGTGACTCTGTCTATCATGTTCTTGAACAGTCTCACTAATGACAGTGACTCTGTCTATCATGTTCTTGAACAGTCTCACTAATGACACTCTGTCTATCATGTTCTTGAACAGTCTCACTAATGACGCTCTGTCTATCATGTTCTTGAACAGTCTCACTAATGACGCCCTGTCTATCATGTTCTTGAACAGTCTCACTAATGACGCCCTGTCTATCATGTTCTTGAACAGTCTCACTAATGACGCCCTGTCTATCATGTTCTTGAAGAGTCTCACTAATGTCACTCTGTCTATCATGTTCTTGAACAGTGTCACTAATGACGCTCTGTCTATCATGTTCTTGAAGAGTCTCACTAATGACACTCTGTCTATCATGTTCTTGAAGAGTCTCACTAATGACGCTCTGTCTATCATGTTCTTGAACAGTCTCACTAATGACACTCTGTCTATCATGTTCTTGAACAGTCTCACTAATGACGCTCTGTCTATCATGTTCTTGAACAGTCTCACTAACGACAGTGACTCTGTCTATCATGTTTTTGAACAGTCTCACTAATGACGCTCTGTCTATCATGTTCTTGAAGAGTCTCACTAATGACAGTGACTCTGTCTATCATGTTTTTGAACAGTCTCACTAATGACACTCTGTCTATCATGTTCTGGGCGAGACTTACTTCGGAGCATTTGAATCTGTGTCTGGTACTCTCCTCTCTCCTTCTCCAGACACTGCACTGTCTTGTTCAGGCGACTTATGGTCTGGAAGAAAACATTATATATATGAATTATCCAATTATACATCTCATTTCAAATACTTTGCAGACACTTTCTGTTTCATGTAACAGTGGTGGCTATGATGAACTAACTAATTCATTTAAACAATCATCATCAGATGATCATCAACCGGTATCTTTTCTCCAAGTCCTGTTATCTTCTTGTAACCGACAGTTTGCTTCTAAAAGATCTTAAAAAAGAATACCTTGAGAAAAAGAGTTACAGTTACAATTGCTTGTACAGTTCAAAGTAATAAACAGTGAAACAATGTTGTGTTGAAGCTGAAGGGACCTATGAAAGTACTTTGAGTTTGTGAGAGCCTTGTTCCAATGAATTTTGTTTTGTTGAAAGAAATGTTAATGGTTTTCAAACTTTGTGTATGACATTTCACTCAAGTTTTTGCCTAATTACGTTTAGATTTGTGAAACTGAATAATGAACATCGATTCTACAACAAGACTGTTAACGTTACAGCATTCTGATCTTCAATTTGCTCCTGTAGCTGTAAGACACTGGACTGTGGCATTCCAGTGAGCTCATGACGTATATTAGAGTTGATTATCTTGTGACCATATCTGTCCATCAGTCGAGTTTTAGGAGTAGATGCTGCTGGGTAGTGGCCAAGTGATGTAGACAACAGGGGGGACGCTGAGTCTGTGTGAAAACAAAGCATTGAATAAGCCATGCAGAGTAGCTCACATACTGTCATACCAACACTGACATACTGGTACTGTCATACCAACACTGACATACATACTGACATACTGGTACTGTCATACCAACACTGACATACATACTGACATACTGGTACTGTCATACCAACACTGACATACATACTGACATACTGGTACTGTCATACCAACACTGACATACATACTGACATACTGGTACTGTCATACCAACACTGATATACATACTCACATACTGGTACTGTCATACCAACACTGACATACATACTGACATACTGGTACTGTCATACCATCACTGACATACTGGTACTGTCATACCAACACTGACATACATACTGACATACTGGTACTGTCATACCAACACTGACATACATACTGACATACTGGTACTGTCATACCAACACTGACATACATACTGACATACTGGTATTGTCATACCAACACTGACATACTGGTACTGTCATACCAACACTGATATACATACTGACATACTGGTACTGTCAAACTAACACTGACATACATACTGACATACTGGTACTGTCATACCAACACTGATATACATAATGACATACTGGTATTGTCATACCAACACTGACATACGTACTGACATACTAGTACTGTCATACCAACACTGACATACATACTGACATACTGGTACTGTCATACCAACACTGACATACATACTGACATACTGGTACTGTCATACCAACACTGACCAACACTGACATACATACATACTCACATACTGGTACTGTCATACCAACACTGACATACATACTCACATACTGGTACTGTCATACCAACACTGACATACATACTCACATACTGGTACTGTCATACCAACACTGACATACATACTGACATACTGGTACTGTCATACCAACACTGACATACATACTCACATACTGGTACTGTCATACCAACACTGACATACATACTCACATCACATACTGGTACTGTCATACCAACACTGACATACATACTCACATACTGGTACTGTCATACCAACACTGACATACATACTCACATACTGGTACTGTCATACCAACACTGACATACATACTCACATACTGGTACTGTCATACCAACACTGACATACATACTGGTACTGCCCAATGTAATGACTAGGGTAAAGTGAGCAGTATATATTACATATCTTTGAATTGAACAAGTTACTTTCAAAAAGCAATTTAGATAAACATGCAACAATAGTGAGGAAAGCAGAAAGATATGTTATGCAGGTGAACAGCTGTTTTTTTAATATAAATGCTACAAATTTAGACAGAAGGTGAAATCATTTTTTATGATAGTGTGTCTTTAAGTGCCAAACAAACACAAATCAACCTTTGAGTTCATTTGGGACATTGTGTTATCCAAACTTGTTCCAGGTTGTCAGTTCATGTTATATTTGAACACAAGAACTACAGACACATGCCAGTTATATTCAGACACTTGACATAATTTCCATAGACTTACATGTTAATTTAGTGTAGCATAAATAATTTTCGTGAATTTAATTTTCGTAAGCTCCCAGTGTCAAGTTTTGCACATTTGTGAGGACTCATCTTACCTACAATCACATATTTCTGTTTTACTTTCTGTTGCTTATTTATCGAATGGCAACAGTTTAATAAACATATGTACAGTGCGATGAACTCTGTTAACATGGCGGCCTATGGGATTGTGCATTGTGGAACCATACGTAAGTTGATAAATGTGATCAGAGACCATATAATACATATATAATAGACTATTATACGGTCTCTGCTGGCACGAGTCTGTATGTACTCACAGTCCAGGGAAACTGTATCTGCAGACAGGTTTGCTTTACTCCTTAGCTTTTGCTGTAAAAAAGAAATTTCAAGACACATATACACACCAAACACCAGGACATCTACTTGCAGATGATGAAAGCAATCATGTGTTTGTGAAGGTGAATATGACTTAACTCATATCCCATCCTTGAAGACAAACAGAATTCTGTATTTTGATTTTCGATGTTTTTATTACAAAATAACCTGAATAGAGAATAGTGATAAATAGACACAGTAAACTACGTCAATAAAGATCTTGTGTTTTAGCCAGACTCACTTGTTGTGAATATTGTAGTAGAAGTGTGTACAAGGAACTAATGTAACAACGAGTTAAAATTACTGGTCCCTTTGAGTTCGTTATAACCGACGGTAACTGTAGAATCTACACAGTCGTAGCCAGCTCTCTGCATGTAAACACGCTGTATAAAATCATACTTACTTTAACCTTCGCCAAGTTGGCTTCTGTTTCTTGGACAATTGACGAAAATTTACTTTCCCAGTTCATTTTTCCGATTGGAAAGAACCATCAACGACAATGAATCATAAGATCTCATGGGAATTATCTAGGCTTTGTTTTGTCGACACGATGATCTTTCGATGCGTGAACTACAGCAACACCGTATAACAATAAAACCTACACACCGTTTGTTTAGCTAAGTGTCACTAAGCAGTGCAACCATTATGCAACATGACACATCACACATTTCCTAATTTTAAGGGCTTAGTTCCGTTGCTTAGCGGATCGTTTGCATTATCAACGATGGCTTCTTTCTATCTCCAAACACTAAAGAGCTTTTTTTTGCGAAGAGATATGGGAGTTGTTTCCCTTATATTAGAGTTGCGTTTGGAATTGCAGATGAATAATTAAAAGCTTATTTTCTGAAATTAACTGAAATTTGTTCTTTCCCGCATACTCAACTAGTCCTGAATGTCTTTTTCAAGAAAAAATAAGAGTCTACAGGACATTACCCAAATCTGACATGTAACGTCAGTGTTGTAGAACTTTACAGGACGTCGTTATCAATGAAGCAGTAGGGTTCCAAAGAATATGGTCTCCATCCAGCAACTTATCTTTGTCGTAAGAAGCGGCGAAATAGACCGGCTGCTCGGATCCTGTGACTTAGTTAATTGCCTAACTGTATCCCAGTTCACTGCGTAGATTAATGTTCACGATGTTAATCACAGGGTTGTATGTTCCAGAAGAGCTTATTTACAGACCTCCACGTAGTAAGTTAGAGAGTCTTTTCCTTAGCCTAAATTTCGAATATTGGATGCTTCCATAAATCCGGCTGTTGAAACTCGATTCCTCTATTTGGTTTTAATAAAGTAGTGATTCCAATTCTTTCTCGATGTATTAATGATAAAACCAACTGTACACAGAAAAGGCCGTCTTAGAAGATATATGGATAAGATGAGCAGTGGTAGAAATTCTCAGATGCAATTTTGGATTAGCTAGCATAATTCTAATGTAATGCTATGACCCTTATTGATATTTATAAGTGTGTCCTGATGGCGTCACCGAGTCCTGATGGCGTCATCGCGTCCTGATGGCGTCACCGTGTTCTGATGGCATCACCGTGTCCTCATGGCGTCATCGCGTCCTGATGGCGTCACCGTGTCCTGATGGCATCACCGTGTCCTGGTAGCATCACCGTGTCCTGGTAGCATCACCATGTCTTTGTAGCATCACCGTGTCCTGATGGCGTCACCGAGTCCTGATGGCGTCATCGCATCCTGATGGCGTCACCGTGTCCTGATGGCATCACCGTGTCCTGGTAGCATCACCGTGTCCTTGTAGCATCACCGTGTCCTGGTAGCATCACCGTGTCCTGATGGCGTCACCGAGTCCTGATGGCGTCATCGCGTCCTGATGGCGTCACCGTGTCCTGATGGCATCACCGTGTCCTGGTAGCATCACAGTGTCCTGGTGACATCACCGTGTCCTGGTAGCATCACCGTGTCCTGATGGCGTCATCGCGTCCTGATGGTGTCACCGTGTCCTGATGGCATCACCGTGTCCTGGTAGCATCACCGTGTCCTGGTATCATCACCGTGTCCTGGTGGCATCACCGTGTCCTGATGGCATCACCGAGTCCTGATGGCGTCATCGCGTCCTCATGGCGTCACCGTGTCCTGATGGCGTCACCGAGTCCTGATGGCGTCATCGCGTCCTGATGGCGTCACCGTGTTTTGATGGCATCACCGTGTCCTGATGGCGTCATCTCGTCCTGATGGCGTCACCGTGTCCTGATGGCATCACCGTGTCCTGGTAGCACCACCGTGTCCTGGTAGCATCACCATGTCCTGATGGCGTCATCGCGTCCTGATGGCGTCACCGTGTCCTGATGGCATCACCGTGTCCTGGTAGCATCACCGTGTCCTGGTAACATCACCGTGTCCTGATGGCGTCACCGAGTCCTGATGGCATCACCGTATCCTGATGGCATCACCGAGTCCTGATGGCGTCACCGAGTCTTGATGGCGTCACCATGTCCTGATGGCGTCACCGTGTCCTGATGGCATCACCGTATCCTGATGGCGTCACCGTGTCCTGATGGCGTCACCGAGTCTTGATGGTGTCACCCGTGTCCTGATGGCATCACTGTGTCCTGGTAGCATCACCGTGTCCTGGTAGCATCACCGTGTCCTGGTAGCATCACCGTGTCCTGATGGCGTCACCGAATCCTGATGGCATCACCGTATCCTGATGGCATCACCGTGTCCTGATGGCGTCACCGACTCCTCATGGCGTCACCGAGTCTTGATGGCGTCACCATGTCCTGATGGCGTCACCGTATCCTGATGGCATCACCGTATCCTGATGGCGTCACCGAGTCCTGATGGCGTCACCGAGTCTTGATGGCGTCACCGTGTCCTGATGGCATCAACGTGTCCTGGTAGCATCACCGTGTCCTGGTAGCATCACCGTGCCCTGGTAGCATCACCGTGTCCTGGTAGCATCACCGTGTCCTGGTAGCATCACCGTGTCCTGATGGCGTCACCGAGTCCTGATGGCGTCATCGCGCTCTGATGGCGTCACCGTGTCCTGATGGCATAACCGTGTCCTGGTAGCATCACCGTGTCCTGATGGCGTCACCGAGTCCTGATGGCATCACCGTATCCTGATGGCATCACCGTGTCCTGATGGCGTCACCGAGTCCTGATGGCGTCACCGTGTTCTGATGGCATCACCGTATCCTGATGGCCTCACCGTGTTCTGATGGCGTCACCGAGTCCTGATGGCCTCACCGTGTCCTGATGGCGTCACTGTGTCCTGATGACATCACCGTGTCCTGATGGTGTCACCGTGTCCTGATGGCATCACCGTGTCCTGATGGCGTCACTGTGTCCTGATGGTGTCACCGAGTCCTGATGGCCTCACCGTGTTCTGATGGCGTCATTGTGTTCTGATGGCATCACCGTGTTCTGATGGCGTCATTGTGTTCTGATGGCCTCAATGTGTCCTGATGGCGACACCGTGTTCTGATGGAGTCACCGTGTTCTGATGGCGTCACCGTGTTCTGATGGCATCACCGTGTGCTGATGGCCTCACCGTGTCCCGATGGCCTCACCGTGTTCTGATGGCGTCACCGAGTCCTGATGGCCTCACCGTGTCCTGATGGCGTCACCATGTCCTGATTACATAACCGTGTCCTGATGGTGTCACCGTGTCCTGATGGCATCACCGAGTCCTGATGGCGTCACCGTGTCCTGATGGTGTCACCGTGTCCTGATGGCATCACCGTGTCCTGATGACATCACATCACCGTGTCCTGATGGCATCAGCGTGTCCTGATGGCGTCACCGTGTCCTGATGGCATCACCGTGTCCTGATGGTGTCACCGTGTCCTGATGGCATCACCGTGTCCTGATTACATAACCGTGTCCTGATGGTGTCACCGTGTCCTGATGGCATCACCGAGTCCTGATGGCGTCACCGTGTCCTGATGGTGTCACCGTGTCCTGATGGCATCACCGTGTCCTGATGACATCACATCACCGTGTCCTGATGGCATCAGCGTGTCCTGATGGCGTCACCGTGTCCTGATGGCATCACCGTGTCCTGATGGTGTCACCGTATCCTGATGGCATCACCGTGTCCTGATGGCATTACCTTGTCCTGATGGCATCACATCACCGTGTCCTGATGGCATCACCGTGTCCTGATGGCCTCACCGTGTCCTGATGGCATCACCGAGTCCTGATGGCATCATCCTGTCCTGATAGCATCACCGAAGTCCTGATGGCATCACCGTGTCCTGATGGCGTCACCGTGTTCTGATGGCATCACCGTGTGCTGATGGCCTCACCGTGTCCTGATGGCCTCACCGTGTTCTGATGGCGTCACCGTGTCCTGATGGCCTCAAGCGTCACCGTGTCCTGATGACATTACCGTGTCCTGATGGTGTCACCGTGTCCTGATGGCATCACCGTGTCCTGATGGCGTCACTGTGTCCTGATGGTGTCACCGAGTCCTGATGGCATCACCGTGTCCTGATGCGTCATCGTGTCCTGATGGTGTCACCGTATCCTGATGGCATCACCGTGTCCTGATGGCATTACCGTGTCCTGATGGCATCACATCACCGTGTCCTGATGGCATCACCGTGTCCTGATGGCCTCACCGTGTCCTGATGGCATCACCGAGTCCTGATGGCATCATCGTGTCCTGATAGCATCACCGAGTACTGATGGCATCACCGTGTCCTGATGGTGTCACCGTGTTCTGATGGCGTCACCGTGTTCTGATGGCCTCACCGTGTGCTGATGGCCTCACCGTGTCCTGATGGCCTCACCGTGTTCTGATGGCGTCACCGAGTCCTGATGGCCTCACCGTGTCCTGATGGCGTCACCGTGCCCTGATGGTGTCACCGTGTCCTGATGGCCTCACCGTGTCCTGATGGCGTCACTGTGTCCTGATGGTGTCACCGAGTCCTGATGGCATCACCGTGTCCTGATGCGTCACCGTGTCCTGATGACATCACATCACCGTGTCCTGATGGCATCAGCGTGTCCTGATGGCGTCACCGTGTCCTGATGGCATCACCGTGTCCTGATGGTGTCACCGTGTCCTGATGGCATCACCGTGTCCTGATGGCATTACCGTGTCCTGATGGCATCACATCACCGTGTCCTGATGGCATCACCGTGTCCTGATGGCCTCACCGTGTCCTGATGGCATCATCGTGTTCTGATAGCATCACCGAGTCCTGATGGCATCACCGTGTCCTGATGGTGTCACCGTGTCCTGATGGCATCACCGTGTCCTGATGGCATCACATCACCGTGTCCTGATGGCATCACCGTGTTCTGATGGCATCACCGTGTTCTGATGGCGTCATCGTGTTCTGATGGCCTCACCGAGTCCTGATGGCCTCACCGTGTCCTGATGGCGTCACTGTGTCCTGATGACATCACTGTGTCCTGATGGCATCACCGTGTCCTGATGGCATCACCGTGTCCTGATGGCGACACTGTGTCCTGATAGCATCACCGAGTCCTGATGGCATCACCGTGTCCTGATGGCGTCACTGTGTCCTGATAGCATCACCGAGTCCTGATGGCATCACCGTGTCCTGATGGCCTCACCGTGTCCTGATGGCGTCACTGTGTCCTGATGACATCACCGTGTCCTGATGGCATCACCGTGTCCTGATGACATCACCGTGTCCTGATGGCGTCACCGTGTCCTGATGGCATCACCGTGTCCTGATGGCGTCACTGTGTCCTGATAGCATCACCGAGTCCTGATTGCATCACCGTGTCCTGATGGCGTCACTGTGTCCTGATAGCATCACCGAGTCCTGATGGCATCACCGTGTCCTGATGGCCTCACCGTGTCCTGATGGCATCACCGTGTTCTGATGGCGTCATCGTGTTCTGATGGCCTCACCGAGTCCTGATGGCCTCACCGTGTCCTCATGGCATCACCGTGCCCTGATGGCGTCACCGTGTCCTGATGGCATCACCGTGTCCTGATGGTGTCACCGTGTCCTGATGGCATCAACGTGTCATGATGGCATCACATCAACGTGTCCTGATGGCATCACCGTGTCCTGATGGCATCACCGTGTCCTGATGGCATCACCGTGTCCTGATGGTGTCACCGTATCCTGATGGCATCACCGTGTCCTGATGGCATTGCCGTGTCCTGATGGCATCACATCACCGTGTCCTGATGGCATCGCCGTGTCCTGATGGCATCACCGTGTCCTGATGGCGTCACC